ATATATATGTATGTATTTTTTTTTAATATGAATGTGAAATTAGCGAAGATGCCCTTTCCCCTGGCGGACAGAATCCTCTGTTATTAAAAAGTAAAGCACTTTAATAATGGAAACTTTTTCCTCTTTTTCCTGTGTTTTAACTGTTTAAAATTAATGAGAAGGGCAGAATGGTTGTCAAAGCGATATTGAAAGCCGGGCAGCCAGGACCGAATAAGCACAAAAATCCCTCTAGAGTGTTAAATAAACAGAGCCGCAGCCCTCTCTGAATCCCTCTGTTGGTTATTGTATACACTCTGTAACAGCTCTCAGAATAGATCTGAGAGCCAGGGAGGCAGAGAGGTTTCAGAATTCCAATAAAGGCCTCAAATTAAAGACAGCCTGGTGCGAATTCCAGGAGAAAATTAAAGAGACCTCAAGCTTAAGTGACAGGTGACTAGCTTCTGTGTCACAACTGTCAGGGGATTTAGTGATAATATGGCAATATATTACAAAGGCCTTTTCTTATTCCCCCCTTTAGGTTTCAAAATGAGGCATCTTTTCTTCCCAACCAAAAAAAGAAAACAAAACAAAACAAAAAACCCCTCTCTACATATATATAATGGAGTATATATTCAACTGAAATATGTAGAAAAATGATAAAATCAGGTTCACATGCTTGAAATGATGGGGTCACTTTAGTAAAATGTAAGAAAAAGTTAATGACAGAAAACACAGTACATTTAGGAAAAAGCATGTCTTAGCCCCCGATTCCAGAAACACTTCCAGGTTGCCCCTCGTGAGAACGAATGAGGTATTTTTGGTAATAGGGAGGACAGTCTAAATTTAAACTGAGACAGAGGGGGCAGAGTTCGGCAGTGCCGCCTCCACCCCAGACAGGTAAATGCTTCCGTAATGAGAGCGGGTCAGAGCCCCGAGGCTCGTGAGCAGGCAGGACTGCCTCTACACCTCACACAGGCGGGCTGCTGGTTAATGAAGCTGGGAGCCCACAGGCAGCTTAGAGAAACACACTTCCAGCCCTCTACTGGCTCTGGGTGTGCCTGTGTCTGCAGCACCTACTGATCCTGGAGAGAACAGACCATCAGAAAGGGTGAGCCAGGGGCTCTGATCCAATTTTAACACCTCCCAAGGCCGACAGTTTGGAGAACTTTACAAGCAGAGTTCACAGGACAAAAAAAACTTGAGGGAAGGCATGCTGGGTGTGTGCACACTGCCGTGAAAACATCACACCTCCCAAGAACCAAGAGCTGCTTCTGAGTTAACTAGGCTGGAACATTTGTTTGTAAAGTTTTAGGTGGTGGCAGTGATGGGGAGCGGTCTGTGTGTGCGTGTGTGTAGGCAAGTCCATTGGCACTGCTAACTTCCAAGGTCTATTTAACTGAATGCAAGAACTTTGCTTTAATCACTTTCCTGCCAAGCTGAGCTTCACCCCGTGGTCCCCAGAACCTTCCAAGTGCCCCCGAGTCAAGCTGAAAGATCAAATTTATTCTCTTTGTAGGTGGGTGAGCACTCACACACCCAGACGCAGCTATAGAAATATATATTTCATGCACCTAAATATGAAATATACATTTTACAGATGCCTCACTCGCTTTCTTTCTGTTCACAAGAATCCAAACTGTGTGCGTCAAAGGGACATTTACCATGAACTTCAGAGTAGCTGGGTGAAGGAGAGGGGCATGATACTGAGGTGCCAGCTGTGCTGCCAGCCTCCCAGGCCCACTGTGCACACCTGGCATCAGGACAGCTGCTAGTGCACACCAAGAGGTGCGGACAGCACAGGCCATGTTTCTCATGCAAAACAGGAGAAGTCGGACCCCACACCCACCGCACTCTCAGGCCACGCGTCTGTGTTAGCCATACACCAATTTAGGTCAGGCTTGCTTTTCCTTAAGATTAAAGTTGGCCCTCCAAGCCAGGTCTTGAACAGGATGTTTAGAGCCCAGTGTGACTGGCTTTCCAAGTTAATGAGAGAGGTCATGTCAGTGAAACCCCAATCTTGCTTAGCACTTTCTTTTCTAAACAAACATCACCAAACACTAAGAGCATTTAGTTCATTCCCACAAAAAAAGGCAGGACCCTGGGGTAAGGCTATAGGAGTAAGTACAGCAACTTCTTTCTGCCTCGTTTCATTAACCCTTCAGGCAACTCTTTAAGACAGGCACTCTCACTACCATTTTACAGACGGGAAGAGTGAGGCTCTGAGGAAGAAAATCTAACCAAAGTTACAGAGGTACCAGCCAGGAGGCCGGGATCCAAGCCCAGGCTGGCCTGTAGCCAGGAAAAAAGGCTTAAGGAGAAGAACTGATGCCGTACAGCCACAGAAGGGCAGGTGTTAAAGATTGCATGGTCAGATGTTGAAGGACGGGAAATGCAGCTGCTCTGCTCCTTCCGTGGGGACAGGCTGGGGCCGCGGCTGTAGGAGGCTGTGTGAACACAATGATCACCTCCCCGGAGAAAAAGGACTGTGTTCAGGGAAACAGACAGACCAAAGCTGGTCCCTGAACAGTGCATAGAAGGCCACGTTTGACCTGACTTTTAGTATCCCATTTTATACTGTTCCTGCTGGCTCTTATTTCTGGAGCACAGGCAGATGCCAACGTTCCACTTATTAGGGTAGAGAAAGAAAAAAAGGTCCTGGGACTCACGTTGCCGAGCCTGGGCTTGGATCCCACATCTGCTGCTAATTTAGTTGACTACAATGCACTACGGACGTAAAGGCCTTTGGTACTTTGCATTAAACCTGGGGCCTTTGGACCATTTCTCACACTGCCCTCCAATCTCCTTAGAAGAGTCTGAACTGTGACACCTCAGTCTTACACATGAAGAAGTGGAGGCTTAGAAAGGTCCAGTACTTGGCCAAAGCTCCCAGAAGACGTCAGATAGGGAATCTGACCCAGGGCCCTGCTCTGAACCACTCTACTACGCCGTGCCTTCGTAGCTCTCAAGCTTCCTGTTGACACCATGGTGCTGGACTGGAGCCCCAGGGAAGCATCTACGGAAGGTCAAACACTCAAACCCTAAACCAGAGTTCACAACAGTTCAGAAGAGATGCGTGCCAAGACCAAAGAGTATCTACCTGTGTGACCAGTGTCAATTCCTTAATGATCTGGCAGGTGCGGCCCAAAGTCTGGTATGCACACCATGTTTTACATGAAAAAAGGAAAAAAAAAAATCACTGAAAATAAGCTCATCAACTGGGTCTTCAGTAGCTTTATCTAGTCACAGGATCTGTGAGGTAATGCCACTTACTGACCAAGGCTGACCTCTACGGGAGCGGCCAAGGACTACTAAAGCAATCAGGGCCGGGGTGCACCTTGACGGTGAAACGCAGTATGTGCAAGGCCCTGGGACCCTCCTTCGGTGCCACTAAAACAAAGACATTTCAAGCTGGTCATGTGGCTCATGCCTGGAAACTCAGCCCTGGGGAGGCTGAGCCAAGAGGACCTTGAGTTCAATGCCAGCCTGGATTACAGCGATGAAAAAGCAAGAACAACTCCGTGTTTCAAGTGTGTCTTCTTGGCGTCATTACTGATGATGGAGGTGCACAGGCATGTATTAAGTGTTTGCTTTGAGGATGGGTCCCCTATTTTCAAACTCAGAAGATCAAGGACCACAAGCCTGACTGGTGAAATTCTTCACCCCCCAAGTGCCTGTCTCTACACTTAAAAACTGAGGCAGTATCTGCCTTATGGAGTTGCTGGGAGGACTGAAATGGGGCTGTGCCTATTAGCAGTTTAGCACCCACTAACAGTGCACCTGCTCCCTCTCCTGCTGAGGTAAACATCCTTAGGTATGCTCTGGAAGAAGCGAACCGAAGTCAGGGTCAGGCAAATGTGGTTTCTGCCTCAGGGACAAAACTGGTCTAAATAAAGGCACATCCCAATGCATAAAAGAAACACCCAGTTTGATTTAATTGTGATCCCTCCACTCAGCCTAAGAGCAATACACACTTGCGTGTGTGATACACTGAGTGCGTGCACAGCCCTGCCGTGTATAGCACTGAGTAATGGGCTGGAGGGTGAGGCCTAGAGAAGCTGCAGCCAGCCGGGTGGATGCTCAGGCTGGCCTGGACAGCTAGCGGTCTCCATATGGAGCTGCATGGATAATAGCAATTTTTCTTCTTAATGATCTCAACTCTACTTTTCCTCTGTGGATAGTGTACTCACATTAAAAAATGGACACACTAAGTGTGTCTGAAGGAGACACAGAGACATTTGTGCCTTCAAGCTGCTATGGGATGGACAGGTCCAGTTAGTATCTGTGCTGATGACCTGGAGAGGAGCCCCAGGGGTGAGCATGTAACGGGTTCCAGACCCAATGCCCTAGATCACCGTTCTGGGAAGCCTGCTGCGGCAGACCTCCAGAATGCACGGAAGCCCGTTAACTGACGAGACCCGCAAACATATCCAGGACAAAGAGGTGGGAAACCCTACAGTGAAGACCCGACCTCATCTACTGCTCATGGGTCCTTAAAATGTATGTACTGCTTGGCAGAAGAAATGGCCCATATACAAAATCTCTCACCCAGATCAAGAACCGAGTCACATCGGGGAGCACCAGTAAACAATGAGACTCACCTGGGCTGCCCCCTTCCTCCTTTTAAAACAATCATCCCTTGTCAGGACAGACAAAATATCTTCCATCTTGATTTCAGAAATGCTGTAGAAGGAAGGATCACATTAAAGCTTTACTTTCCAAAAATCCCCCCAAATTTTGATGCATAAACTGACAGATTCTGAAGCTAATCAGACCTAAAGGAGGAGCAGCACCTAAGGGACACTGGGCTGGCGAGATGCCTCGGCAGGTAAAGACTCCTGCCACCTATGCTGGCAACCTGATTTCCATCCCTGGGACCCACATGGCAGGAGAGAACTGAATCCCAGAAGCTGTCCTCTGATCACACCTGTGCCATGGCAAGTGCACACCGACCCACACCCACCAAAAAACACTAAAAAAATGTTTTAGAAAGGGTATTTTCCTAGCCCCGCAGATATCTGAAGGTAAGGCATGTGGCACCGCAGGGCCAGGCCAGGCCAACGCTCTGTGCTTCCTTCCTCCCTGATGAATTGAAAGGTCATATTTAGATCCTTTGTGGGGGAACCCTTCCTTCCTGTCTTTCCATCATCGCGTCTGTCTTCCTTTCCTCTACTTTTATTTTTGAGACAGAGTCTCATGTGCTCTAGGCTGCTGGCCTTGATCTTCCTGCCTCCCCTGAGTGCTGGGATTACAGGTGAGGTGACTATGCTTGGTCTCCACCAAGTAGTGATTTGTATGTTCAGGTTTACGAAGTGGGCACGTGTGTGCTGCATGGTGTGCAGAGGTCGGGGGACAACTTGGGAAGTCAGTTCCCTCCCACCACACATGGGATCCAACTCAGGTCATTAGACTCAGTGGCGAGCACTTTTACCTACTGAGCCATGTTGCCAACCCTGGGGGTGCTGGGAACTGAACCCAGGTCCTCTGCAAGAGCAGCCAGTGCTCCTAACTGCTGAGCCTTCTCTCCAGCCCCTGCCACTGTTTAACAAAGCTTGATTCCTGAACACATAGGGTTGCTTCCTGTTGTAATGCTTTGACGTGAGCAAAGGATGAAATAAACACCTCATGGTCTGTTCAGCTTTAAACTTAAAGCCCCTCAACAGCGAGGCAACGGCTGCAGGGAAGGGCAACGAACTCTGCACAGCTCTGCTCCTCCTCGCCCTGGACCAGCTTCACCACTCTTCCGTCTCTTCATTGTTTGGGGCTGAGGACCAAAGAATCTGCAAGGAATCTGGAGGCGTGAACAAACTAAACTGCTGCAGCCAGAATTTGGACGTCCTTCATGAACATAAATCAGGAGCCAAAACAGGAGCATGTGACCTTCACACCAGAGTCTGGGGAGCCACAGGACACCCATCACTGCGAGGCCGTGGCTCTGGAACTGGGGAGCAGCACACAACTAGATCTGGAGAGGATGGAATGTGCGCTGCTGAGACGGCACTTGCAGGGAGAAAGGGAAAGGGAAGGAGGAGCTCCAGGGGAGAAAACAGATCATGAAAAGACAAATGATTCTGGTGTTTTCTTTCTTCTTTTGGAAAATCAAACAGCAAATTAAAGCACAAACGGCACCCTCTTACAGGAGAAGACATTCTCTCCCTCTCCCTAACGGTGACTCTGACAAGGCTATGAATGAAATGTCACATCTGACAGCCACTCACCTGAGATGTCATCTCCTCCTGAGCCTCGGGCCCCGGCCCCCACCCCTCAGCATCCTCTGCGGCAACAACCCTGTGATAAGTCTCTCCAGCAGGGAGAGGCAGCTGTAGGAGGCGGAGGGTAGGGAAGAGTGGAAGCCAGGGTGAGCGTGCCCCACCCCAAAGAGGGTCGCTGCCCCCAGTCCCCATGCGAAGGACAGGAGCTGTGGTGACTGAATCTGCCTCCAACCCCTGGAAGCCTGAGGTGGAAACAGGGCCCAGACCTTTCTCTGTCCCATTTGCCACCTTTCCTCTTGAAATTAAAAAAGTGAGATCACGAAAACAACAACAGAAATGAAATATCAGATCTGGCGTAGAGCTGGGCACGGGGGTTCACACGTACAATCCCAGCACTTGGGAGGGCATCCTGGGCTACATAGTGAGTTCAAGCCTAGCTAGGGTTACAGAGTGAGACTCTTGTCTCAAAAAGGGAAAAGAAAAAAAAAACAAAAAAAACACAACCTTGGGAGTGAAATCTTAAAACAGGGAGAAAGAAAAATGAACGACGTGATTCATAGTCAGGGATACCAAATAAGCCACAGAAGCATCCCCACTTGCAGAGAGCAACGCCGCCCAGTCGCTGGCCGGCCAGGGCGTAAGCGAATAGCAACGGAGCCCGAGCACCACTCCTGAGAAAAAAAGCATCTCTGTGATCGATTGTGGTTCTATCAACAGATGTGAGACACTCTGCCTCGCTAGGAAAGAGAGAGAGAAATTCAGGGAGCTGCCTGATGTCTGATCTGAGAATCATACGTTCTGATGAAGCATTTCCATTTTCATAAACCAGCAAAGACTTTTACTAGCAACACAGAAAGGAGAATAGAAAGCCAAGGAGTTGGCACACAATAAGTCAAAAGGACAGAGCAGAGTTCTGAGCACTCAGAGGTGGCTACAGCCCAGGGCACCTGTCTCTTGCCCAGTCTGCTAAATTAAATTGTCAGGGTGAGTTCCACAGCGCCTGCACAAGAAGGCAGACGGCAATTTGTTGTGATGCCCCTGCCACTGAGAGCCTCGGCCTGCCTTCCAGAATCTTCCCAGCAATTCATCAGTCGGCCAGCACCCGCAGCTGGTTCCTGTGTTCTCGAGCAGGAAGCATGCAGACCTCCTTCCCCTCTGCTCCCTTCTTCGGGAACCTTTCAGCTTCCACACACGTCCAGGCCGCATCTTTCTACTGTACATTCAGCAGTGAGTTGCTTTTTTTTTTTTAATTAAAATTTTTTCTTTGAGAAAGGGTATCATGTAGCCCAGGCTGGCAGTGAGTTATAGTTTTTTCAAAAAATATTATTTTATTTTATGTGTATGAGTGCATTGCCTGCATGTATGTTTAAGTGCACCCATGTCATGCAATACCTAAAGAGGTCAGAAGGGGGGGGTGTTGGATCCCCTGGAACTGGAGTTACAGACGGTTGTTAGCATGTGGATGCTGGGAAATCGAACCCAGGTCCTCTGCAAGAGCAGCCAGTGCTTTTAGCCACTGAGCCATCTCTCCAGCCCCAAGTTATTATTTTTTTAATTAATTAAAAAGTTTTTTGAGAAAGGGCATCATGTAGTCCAGGATGGCCTCGAATTCACTCTGTAGCTGAGGATATCCTTGAACTGCTGATCCTCCTTCCTTGACCTACCAAGTATAGCATTACAGGCAAGTACCCAACTACCCTTGGCTTATGTGGTATTGAGGATGGAACACAGGGCTTTGCAGGTTAGACAAATGTTCTACCGCATCAGTTCCAATGTATACAATCACTCTTCCAGATTTGTCCTTGATGAGACGACTTATTTTCATGTTTTACATAAAATACAGGGCTGGCCAAAAAAAAGAAGAAATGGGCCCACGACACTCAGCACACAGCAGAGATGGGTAGACGTGCACAGTACAGCGTCAGTTCTCAGCATGGCTTCTGGGTTTGAATGCATCATGCCCCACCACTTCGGGCAGACACACAGCTCTTCCAGGACTTCCAAGAACATCTTTACCCATCACTGTCCTACGCTTGAGTCAAAACACTGCACGTCTTTACAAGCCCATTATTAGAATGTGCTACTTCAAGTAATACAGATTTTATGGGAAACAAAAGTCCATTTCTGTGGCCCAGGCAAATCACTTTTGTGTGAGCTACGGCCACTCGTGGGGTTAGCTAGCCAAGGGTAGGAATCCTGAGTTTCCTGCAGGGTCTAAAGCTGGGTACCTAGCTATGACACACATAAGGCAGACACTGGCAAATCCTGACCGCAGACCTATACAGAGCACTGTTCTGAGTGCCCTGAACCCTGTCCCTGCTCATGCGCTACTTTTCTAAAGGAGAAGAATTGTGTGATGAACGCAATTGTTTTTTGTTTTGTTTTGTTTGTTTTTTGTTTTGATATTTTATTTATTATTTTTATTTTATGTATATGAGTGTATTGCCTGCATGTATGTGAGTGCACCCGTGTCATGCAATGCTGAGGAGGTCAGAAGAGGGTGTCGGATTCCCTTGGAATTGGAGTTAAGGATGGTTCGTAGTCACCATGTGGGTGCTGGGAATTGAACCCAGGTCCAGTGCAAGAGCAGTCAGTGCTCTTAACTGCTAAGTCTTCGCTCCAGCCCCATACAATTGTTTTTTAAAAAGCAAATCAACTCCGGGCCAGGCGTGGTGGTGCAGGGCCTTTAATCCCAGCACTCGGGAGGCAGAGGCCGGCAGATCTCTGAGTTCAAGGCCAGCCTGGTCTACATAGTGAGTCCCAGGACAGCTGGGGCTACAGGGAGACCCTGTCTCAAAAAGACCAAAAGAAAAAAAAAAGCACATCAGCTCCAAAGTTACAAGACATTGACTGAGAGGAGTAAAAAGACTGCAAAGGGTCCAAGAGGCTGGCCGTGAGGGCACGCCTTTCCACTTCAGACCTGAGGAACAAAGCACAGACCTCCACCTCAAACCACCACCAAGCACAGCGGATTGCCCTGTGACTGGCAGTGAGATGGAGACTGTCAGGTGCTGATGGTACCGAGGGTTTTAGTTTTTGCCACTGGCTATTCTGGGATTCATTTGGGGATCACAAGGGTTAATGGGTCTTCAGCGGCTTACAAGGCCCATCCACTGTAGAACGTGACAGAAAGTTAATTAGGTGAGATCAGCTGAAAGCCGTTCAGGTTTTTGACTCACTTGATTTTGTGAGAAGCCAACGAGTTGACATATTCTGCCTCCGAAGGAGCCAAAATGAGCAGGCTGCTCCCACGGCAGCCAATCCGAGCAGTTCTTCCAATCCGGTGGATGTATTCAGCAGGTGAAGATGGAGCATTGTACTAAAAAGGGTAACAAAAATGAAGGCATTCATAGATCAAGGGATTGCCATTAATTGGAAGTGCAATACCCCTCACCTGCCTCCAGGTATCCCAAGAATTAGATCCTGGTGCTACCGTTATTTAACACACTCATAAGGAGAAGTCACTCAACCCTGAAACTCCTGGCTTCACTGAAATGACAAGGCTCTGACATGTAAATGTGAACCATGGCCAAGTTTCAGATGAACGAGATGCCCATCCCGACAGCCCCTTTTTAATTTTATTGCTCCACAGGTCTCTTCATTTTCCTGTTTACATCTTTTCACTGAGGTGGCTGCGCAAGGTGAAATGTGAGCAGGTGGGGAAAATTTCTCCAGGATGACCACATGACCTTGGCCTACTTCCTTGGTAAGACACAGCAGCTGGGAAGAGGCAACAGAGGGCAACAGGTGTACAGATGAAGGGAGCCAACCACTGTGCTGGCAGTCTACTCTGCTGCCAGCCCCAAGAGCAGGCCCACCACCTCACTGCAGCTCTACTCTGACCCATCTGGGGATGGCAATAGGCAGTTGTGAGCAGACGGATAGGTTTCTGCGCTGGGGAGTGCCTTCCTCTCAGGGGAAGGGCAGGTCCCTGGCTAAGCAGATTAGGTGGCTTACCCATGACACCTCAGCAGTAACCCCGTCGTATTAAAGCGACAGGTCACATACACCTTCCTTTTGTTTTCTTTGCTGCTACATGAATCAAAGATCAGAGGGGCCAAGGTGAGTGCACCACAGGAAAGGTCAGATATTAGTGAACCAATCAATATTCACAGTGCGAGGCTTTCCATGACCAAATCTGAGTCTGGCCTCTGGAACACTAAGATCATGCCTGCTTTCCTATTTCCCAGGGGCTCAGCGGCCAGGAGGAAAGAAGACACAACGCTTCCAGTCCTCACACTATCACCTGTGACAAGCGGATCAGATTTCCCAGCCCAAGACAGGCATGAAATTTCACAAAAATGTGAATAAACCATGACTCACATAAACAGGAACGTGTCCCCTGGCCCCCATGCAGACAGGCTTAAAAATACCATTCTGCAGACTAATGAAAAGAAAAAGTGAAACAAAACCCACCAGACCACAGTGCTAACACCTGTACCCTCTGGCAAAGTGTCGAGGGTTGGAAGTATGTGTAAGATGCTGTCAGGGCCTTAATTGCTCCCTGTAGGTCAATGTACATGGACACAGCTCTCCGGACAGCTGAGCCATTTCCTTCTTGGGAGGACACAATGAGGCCTCCCAAGGGCCTGAGTAATTCCCGATATTTTCAGACTGCTGAAACTTTGGTTTGTGACATGAACTAGTCCGGGAGCAGGAAAGCTTGCCACCCCTCCTGAGAATCGCTTCTGGGCTGTTCTGCTGTGGCAAGTAGGTGGGCTGAGCTAAGGAAAGATGTCAAGAGAACTGTACACATAAGACTGCCTGCTGCCTGGTTACCAGGGCAACACCCAAGAGGGTAATAATGACTATTCTACCTAAAGCCAACACACCTACTCATGAGCGTATACCCCTGCTTCACACCTTAATAGCAGAAAGATTACCTGAACAATCCACGTGACTTGCGGGAGATCTAAGCCTCGAGCTGCAACATCCTTTAAAACGAAGAGAGTATGCTTTAAAACAGAGTTTCTGAACTTTTCTTTTTTCTGAGCTAGGGTCTTGCTCTGTAGACCAGACTGGCCTAGAACTTTGCAGCCCAGACTGACCTTGAGATGCCTGACCCTCCTACCTTGCCCCAGCCTCCTAAGTACAAGGGCTACAAACAGCACATCATGTGAGACCGAGTTTCTGAACTTTTGAGAACACAGTAATACAAATTCTGAAGTTCATGTGCACGTGCGTGTACACACACACACACACACACACACACAGAAATACAGTATTCTGAATACAACTCCAGCAGGCCCAAGGGCTCACTGAAGACCATTTGTGGTTAAGGGACTGGCAAGACGGTTCAGAGGGTAAAAGTGCCTGTGCCAAGTCTGAGGACCTGAGCTTAGTCCTCTGAACCAACAAGATGGAAGATGAGAACCAATTCCCAAAAGTTGTTCTGACCTCTACACATGCACATATTACATAGGGGTGGCATGCAATCCCCACCAAATAAATAAATATTAAAGACTTAAAAATAAATTCTAACTTAGGGGCAAGTTTGACAGAACCCTTTTGTAACTTGTCATAACACAATGTGCAGGTTAACACATAAATAGACCTTAAATTGCAACTGTCAGTGAGTCCTGTGAGAATTCTGAAAACCTGGATAGCTGTATGCGAATGCCTGTAATCTCTGCAACGTGGGAGGTTAGAGGCAAACAGATCAGGAGTTCAAGGTGCACCCTTAGCTATACAGCACGTTGGAGGCCAGCCCAAGCTACAGGAGATCCTGTCTCAAACAAACAACCCCCCACATAAATACATAAATAAAACAAAAGGCCATTTAGGATAAATGCATCAGGACCCACCCGTGCCAACCAGTGATGACAATTAACCAGGCAGTCATGAAGCTCACTGGCATGCTTCTGAAATGCCCCTCAAGGCACTTGCTGGGGCAGTAAGCTGCAACTATTTACTTTGGACTGTCTGTTGGGTCAGAGCAGGAAGGATCCCACAGTCTGTGCTCCCTTCTGAGAGTTAGATGAGGATACACACCAAACATGCCCGTCAGTTCAAAGACTGGACTGGACAGCTGAAAACCCACAAAAAGGATGGAGTTTTATTTTCTCTTTCAACTGGTCACCACCAGGGGATCCCTCTGCTCTCTATGCCTCTGCCACTCTGGCAGAGACCAGAAGATGAACCCTCCCAGTCCTCAGCAGCAATCTGCAGTTGGCATTCACCTTCAAGTGCAGCAGTCACAGGAAGAGTCTCTCTGGTCAACAGTCCCTGAGCACTTTCTACGTACTGGACCCTGAGTTGAGTGTTCTACCCACATTACCTTGATTAACTGTAAAAACAACTATTACCAAAAGAACAAAAAGAAAAAAGAGGGAGGCGGGTGGAGACAAAAACAAAATCCAAACCAATTATCACTGCCGGACGTGATGGCGCAGGCCTTTAATCCCAGTACTCGGGAGACAGAGGCGGGTGACTCTCTGTGCAATCCAGGCCAGCCTGGTCTACATAGTAAGTTCCAGGTTAGCTGGGGTTACAAGGAGACCCTGTCTCAAAAAACCAAAACGAATAAACAAACAAAACCCCAAATGAAACAAAAAGCCAAAAAAAAACCCAAAACCACTACCAACTCTTACTCCCCCATTTGACAGAGGAAGAAAGAAGATTTGGAGCTAAGTGCCTTGCCCAGGGATATGGCTATGCAGGAGAGGTAGTTCCCAACTGCAGGCCTGTTTCATTTCCCAAGGCTACATTAGATGATGCTTCATTGGACCATCCCAGAGATGCTGAGTCCCACACACCCTGTGGGAGGGGTTGTGGAATGGTTTATGCCCTTATGATGGGGAATCTGCTAATACCTAACAAAGTTACATATGCATTTGCTCTTCTGTGGAGACACTGGCAAAAACGTTAAACAGTGTAAGCACACAGCTATCCATTCAGCACTGTGTGCTATCCATTCAGGATTCAGGCTGAATAAAAGACAGCTCTACTATAAGTAATAACGCGTAATACGGTTCTGAGAGGGAAAAAGAGTTCTTACTAATTTGGAGAACTTTCAAGAGATATTTTGAGTATGTATAATATGCTTTTGTGTAGGAAACTGGGAAAATTCAAACATACCTGTTTATACTTCAAAAAGAAATCATGCAGGGAAAAGCCCCAAAGCTTACAAAGATAGTTCCCTCTAGGGGAAGAGGCAGGCAGGCAGGACAGACTAAGGAGACAGACCAGGTGCTAGGCTGCTCACTGCAAGCCTGTGCACTTCTGGCTCTGGTGACCAGCTCTGACACAACAGGAAATACAGAGTGTGGCCTAGGATGTGTTGTTGCCAAAACCCAAAATCAAGGTCTAGAACTCAACTCTAATCACTTTCGCAGGAACACAGCAGAGGGAAACATGGTGGAAAATCCCAAAGGCTACACACAGAACCAGCCCACAAGTTATTCTAAGAACAAACATGGTCTGGGGAGATAGCTTAGTAGGTAAAGCACCTACTGTGTCCACGTGAGGACACAGAACCCACATAAGTTTGAATTCCCAGAACCCACATAAAGCTGGGCACAGCAGCCGAGTTTGTAATTCAGTGCCCCTGGAGCAAGGCAGGCGACGGAAAAGAGAATCCCCGGGAGCGTGTGGGCCGGTTAGCCTGGGGTACGAGGTGGCAAACACCAGAGAGACCCTGTCTTTGAACAACGTGCAAAGTGAGGACCGGCATCCAAAGTTGTCCTCCAACCTCGACACTCACATGAAAAAAAATTAAAGCTCAATTGATCTGATTTCTGTAACCAAAAAATTCAAGGCGGGGCAGAAGGATAAAAACACCTAGACAGACAAACACCGAAGGACGGACGAACACCGAAGGTTCAAAGCCTCACCTACAGTTCCACAGTCCCAGTGCTCAGAGGCTGAGGCGGGAGGCTGACTATGAGCTCGAGGGTAGTCCTGTCTCCACAGTTCTAGACCAGCCAGGGCTATACAGCAAGACCTTCTGTCAAAGACCAACACAGCAGCCTCTCCAAACGGAGGGTGTGAGTGGACTTACTTCTTTGTATTTTCCTATGCTGTTTGTTTTGTTTTAAACAGTACATGTTTAGCATGTCCCCTAAATTTTGATAACTGAAACCTCCACAGGTTCGCAGAATAGTATGCTGAGTGCCTGTCTCTTTCCTCTAATTCATCAACTGCTCATCTCAGGCTTACCTGCTTTTTCCTTCCTCATCTACACAGACACAGACACCTACACACACATTCTTATGACTATTTCCAAAACCAGTTGTAAATGTCATGATGTTTTAGTCCAACACTCCAGCAAGCATCTCCTAATGGACACTCCTCTACTAACCACTGCCCAGTGTGACTCTTAAGAAATCAGGAGAATATGGCTTCTCTACCAGCCGATGTCAAGTTTCTCCACTGTACCCAAGATGGCTTCCACGGATGCTTTTCTTTCCAATACAGGAGTGAGCAGTGACTGCAGTCTGCCAATCATGCCAGACCTCTTTCATCTGGAGTGCTTCCCCCCACTTTTACTGACTTGTCTTTTTGTTGATGTCTTGGGGAACATTTCCTATCTGGGTTTGTCTAATTGCTTCCACATGGTAAGACTGGGTTAGACATTCTGGCATGAATGCATCCTCAGGTGGCGTGGGCTTCCCATGGCTCCACGGTCCTCCAGAAAAGCCTGATCACTGGAGGGAGTAAGTGGTGTACACCATCCCTCTCCACCGTGAAGGTAGGTAACTGCGGAGTGAGACTCGAGGCCACAGGAGCACCACTGCCCAAAATATTTCAGCACAGGGTCTTGCTTCTCTGGATGTTCCCATCCGCATCTGCTGTCACCTTCACGTTTGTAAGGGATGACGCCCTGGGCAGCCATCCTTCCATTTCACTGCTGAAAATTCCTCAGGAAAGAGCTGCTTCCACTCCTTTTGTTAAGTGAGGGTTTGGACATTGCAGCTTTTTGAGTAAGAAGCCTCTGCTAAGTTTCTATAAGAGGCATGCTCCCTGCACCTCCCCTGGGTCAAGGACAGGACTGAGTAAGACGCCCACCAAGAGGGACCGCCATTGAGTGGAACTAGGCTGCATTCTAAGTATGTAAGTGGAAGTTAACACACGGAATGTGCCTCAGTCTCTCAGTGTTTTCAGAAAGCACCACATCTTCTGAGAGCTGAAAGCCGATGATGCCCTGCAGCTTGTGGCTTAGAAAACACAGTGCATGACGTTCCCTAATCAAGGGGGAGACAGGACAGGCTCTCGACACTGATCATCGTCAGCACCTTTAGGGAAATGGATGCGTTCTTAAGTCTGCTAAGTTCTTGGTAAGAAATGATTTGCTTTAAGGGTTCTGCTGTGGGGATACTGGGCTACCTTTACAGATGCGTTGTAAGAAATTTAAAACTCACCGGTTTAATAAATTCAACCAGAAAACAGAGCTCAAACTCTAAAATAGGACTGGGGATGTAGCTCAGAGGTGGAGCATTCGCCTGGTGTGTGTGAGGCCTTGGGTGAGCTCCCCAGCACTGCAAACAAACAAGTATCTAAAACAACTAATTTTTGAGTGCAATCATGCTGAACCTGAGTGAGGAAGGGCACTAGTGACCTCCCGGGTGCCCAGCTCAGGTCAGCTGCAATTTTCTCCTCTGCCACTGTTTTGTCCTGCCCTCTCACCCCCAGTCTTGCTCTGCAGTCCAGGCTGAACTTGAACTTTGTCCCTCCCACCTCAGCCTCCCCTTCTTCTGGAGGGTGGAGTGCTGTGACAGCCTGGCACTGTTCATCCCCTCCAGCCCACATTAAATCTAGATGTTGCCTTAGATTTCTCCTCTCCATCTCCAGCCCAGGGACCAGAGGCTGAGGGGAGTCCCAGTGCTGGTCTGCAATGGGGAAGATTGGCACTCACATGGCAGCACTAGGACCTGCCCAATCTGGGGAAGCAAGTCAGTCCTCTGCTCTGGGCAACCTACCTGAACTGTGGCTAAGAACCATCCTGTTTATCTCAGGAGCTGGTAATGAAGGCAAATTAAGTGTGGGGACTTCCTAGAACTGTAAACTCAAGCACGCCGCTTCCTAACAAAGTAAGGCATGGCAACTGAGGCACCTCTCCAATCCCTTCTCCACCAGCCACTCAGTCCCTGGGCAGGGACCACAGAGAGGCCCAAAATGACCCCGTCTTCCAGGAAGGCATCAGCTAGCTGTACTAGATCAACAGGAAACTGACCTAAGAGCACAGGGGCTTCAGTCTCCAAACTTAAGTCTGATCACAGCCCAATTTTATTCCTTTAACCTAATTAGGGCAAGAGAATCACTAAAGTCAGTTCTGAAAGACATTCACCAACGGGGCCTTGAAGGCCCTGGGCTTGACAACTGGCGGCCTCCATGAGACCCAGGAGTACAGATGGAAGGCAGCCTGCTCGGGTGCCAGCCTGTCAGTTGGATTAAAATGACTCATTTATTTACCCAAGAACCTCACAAAGTGCTTTTACTAACAGGGAGAGGAGGTCTGCCGTCTCTCTGAGAAGGGACGCACAAATTCGCCTCTGACGCCTTCCTGGCCTGCCAAAAGTCATTACTGCCGTGTGTGGAAAGCCATCAGCAGGGTACAGGCCCCCGTTGTCTGGGTGACAGATTGGGCTGCGTAATCAGAGGAGGAAGGGGAGAGTGGAGAAGCTGTCAGAGGCGAGAGATCTTGGCTGGAGCCGCCAAAAAGCTGGCAACATGAGTTAGTGTGGCTGAGTAAACAGCGAACAGTCTCCAAATGATACTTCCATTACCAGCGACGAAACAAAGCGAAGATGATGAACTTCCCCCGAGAAGCAGACCCCAGAGAGGCACGAGAGCCCCGAGCTCAAGCAGGCACTGAACCCACAGCCTTGGGACTCTTGCTGTCCTTGCTCCTTTGTCCAGCAGCCTGGCACAGTGGACATTCCCCAGGAGGAGAGAGATTAAGAACTGCAGACAGCAGCGCTTTGGGTGGAGAAAACGAACAAAACAATGCTGGTGGGGGAACGGTGCGGGTGATGGTCGTCTTTCTTGAGGAAGAGACCCATTCATTCCGGGACTCTGCAGCACATGGGGGCATGGCAGAAGGCCCTCGTTTCTGAGGTCAAGGTATTCAATTTGTCCACAGATAACCAAGGCCAGCAACAAACCAGGAGGAAGCCCAGTGTCCACCTCAGAACCAGCACTGACTCAGGAATTCCCTTTTCTGGCAACGCAATGACATTTCTGTCATCAAGTCATCACTGAGCCAGAGGCCCTGAAGACCATACCACAGCCTTGGGGGGTTCTTTACAAGGGGGAATACTACTTTGTAGTTAGCTCAATGTCGTAGATATAACCCTTGTGATTTCTTAATTCTATTTGGGAAAGCAGGCCTTAAACTTTCAAAAGCCCCCCTCCCAGGTTTTGTTTGTGAGAAAGGATGGCTTGAGGCCCAGGCAGACCTGGGCCTGGATCCTCTACCTCCCTAGTGCTGGGACTCTAGGAATGCACTGCTCGGCCCTTCTCTTCCACACAGTGTCTTCTGCTCTGATTCTCCTTTAGCTCTGCCCACCTGCTCTCTCAGCACAGCCCTAATGAATAGCCAGTCCATAAGAGCCATGGATGCATCTGGTCCTGAGAGAGTGCAGGAAATTACAAAGGTCCTAGCTTTTAAGACCTTTATCATTAAGATGAACCAGTCACTCTGTGCACCCTTAACTGCTCCTAGAAGGAAGAAAAATGTGACAGAGAAACTTGTAGACAGTAAAGGACATAATGGGGTTATACTAACACTTCAAAATTTTATAGACATCCAGTCCTCTGGAGCCTTACTAAGAGGGTCTTGAGATGATTAAAAGACAAAAGGCCCAGAATAGGGGGGAAATTCCCACACAACCATTAACATGATTCCCTTTATCCAGTTCTCCATCTGCCTCATCTTGACATGGCCCTCATTCCTCATTAACACCACAGAGGCTCCTGGTGAGCATTAGGAAGGCCTGGCAAGCAACAGGCTGTAGAGTGACATCATCTCCCTGGCCCCAAGCATCACCTATTCTGGTGTGTCTCACAGACCCCGTGGCTCCTGGTGTGGAGCTAAAGCAAACAAGCAGAGCAGAAGCAGGACTGCTGGGTTAGCACCTCTCTCATCCCAAACCAGTGCTGCCCTGAGAGGCCAGCCCCACCTAACTCTTCTCCAGTGCACTCTGCAGAGTGGAGAAAGGGTGAGACTGTTCAGTATACATACTGGAATCAACCTGGACAGCCTTAGATGTGGACAAGAGCTGCCTCACACATGACGGGCAGGGGCTAAGGGCCCTGTGCTTCCCTAAGACAATGGCTGACATCATCTGCCTGCAAGTATCAGCCAGATAGAACAAGGAAAGCAAGTTCCTGCTTTTAACCAAACTAAGATTTAATTTTCGGAAGAATAACCTCTTTCTTTATGTACAGTGGTTAAAACACTCAATTCCAGGGCTGGAGAAACAGCTCAGTAGTTAAGAGCACTGGCTGTTCTTGCAGAGGACCCAGGTTCAGTGCCCAGCACCTACATGGCAGCTAACAACCTTTCCACGGGATCCAAGGCCCTCTTCTGACCTCTGTGGGCACTGCACGACATGGGTGCACTTAGACACATGCAGGCAATACATTCATATACATAAAAAATAAAAAGCAAAAACCAAGACCATTCAGTGTCAGATTACCTAGAGTTTTTGAGACTTATAGCTCACCAGCATCTGCAAAGCACAGCTTTTGCATACTGGGGAGTCAACATTTTCCAGGACAAATCCAGGATCTTAAGGGTCCAAGGTAAAACACATTGTTATCATAACCCAAATTCCAGCAAAGGTTCCTATTTGTGGTTCGATAGAGAAAATCTGTTACACTCACTCCCCAGATAATATCACAGGGAAGGAAAGAACTTATTCCCAATAAGCAAGTAAATTAAACTGTATCTCTCCATCTTTAGAACCATGTGAACATTGGTGGTTCTCCCCAATGAATTTCTGGGGCCTGACCTATCCACCCAACTCAAGCTTAAACACCAAGTGACTACTGTGTTCCTGTCCTGCATTGGTCACTGGGACAGGAGAACAAATGGTCCCTGTCTTCCTGGAGCTTATGATCGGGCATGATGCCACCTGTGACAAGTGTGAACACCACAAAAGATACCCAGTATACACCAGTGCACAGAGATGCCCAATGGGGGGGGGGAACTGGAGGGTTGCAGTTTATTTTCCTGAAGAAGTGAAGTAACTGGAGATCTATGGGAGCGCTAGCTAGTCTGCTCCAAGCACAGGGCAAGTGCACACAGAGACCAAGCCAAAGAAGGGAAGAGTGATACTTTAGAGCACAGAGAGGGGCTACTAGGCTAAACAACAGTGAACTGAGAAGAGCAGGAGAGCTCCAGAACACTCCTAGTGACAGCAAGGATGACTGGCCATTTCCCTGTCAAGTGACTTATTTGCACTCAATCTTGCTGCAGACATTTGAAGATGGTTTTGAACAAGTAGGAACTTCTGACTTGTAGGCCGGCTTCACGGCAGGAAGGACTACTTATTCAGACACAGGCCTCCTTGGGTCTGGGGTCTAGTAGAAATCCTCCTCAGGTTTGAACAATGCATCCAGGGCCACTTCGTTGTGGACATATGAGAACAGATGATGGACTGAGGTCTCAGGGCAGGCCTTATCATACATAAGCAACATACACAGAAAGCTGACCCGCCTACAAACTGAGTTTAGAAGAAAACACTCAATTACCTTTAAATGGAATGTGGCGTACGAGTTCCTCAACAAGTAACTGCAGTAATCGAGTCATTCAAACAGCTCAATGTCACTGTTTCCACCCAGCACTCGCGATGGATTTACTAGGTCCCTAGTGCAGCCTCATATGAAACATACGAGGGCCTCTCCAAGTCCCTTGGGGGTTAAGTGATATCATTCAACATGGCACAAAGAAGGTATTTTAATCATGGGAGAGCAACAGCTATCTAAAGAGAGGCAGGGAAGATGGACCATATGAGTTTTCAAACTCAAAAGAGCATCTGAGATGTGCGTTAAAAGGTCAGTGCTGTGCTGGGGGAGGCCACAACACAAGACTGCAGTCTGAGGCCAAGTGGACAGGCCCTGAAAACGTAGGACAAATGATAGTTTTAGACAAAGCAGTAAAACTGGCCCAGCATCTCTTTCCTTTAAGAAAGTAAGCAAGAGGCATCTTGTTGCCGAAAGACTTTCTCAGCTCTAATTACTCCGATAGCTGTAATTTACAAGTTTTTGGTAGAGAGAAATCTCCAAGATTCACACCTTTGGAAACGAACAGCTGCCACTATTAGAGAGCAAATCGCCAAGCCTTCTCCGTAGTAGCAGCCAGTGCTGTGTGGTAAAGCCAGGTGGTAATCTAGGGGTGCAGAGAAACCAGCCACACTGTGAGGCCCAGATGTGCCCTCTGTCCGGGGACCAACTGTCAAGGGATTTAAAACCACCACAACCACGATTACAGCACTCAGCCTTAGACACAGTGATACATACCGTGCAGAGCAGGACGCCTGTTCTGGACTGGGAGAATTCCTGAAACACAGCTGTTCTTTCCTATAAAAAGAAGGGGAAAGGGCCTTACAAACTCTTGAGATAAATTTCTCCAAAGCGGGCTTAGATTCTCCTAACTTCCTCACTTTTCTTCATTCTAACTTTCTTCTGGCAAGAGAGGGTCACATGGCCAGAGTAGGAAGTGGAACCTTCAGGTTTTCTGAGACGACCCCCTCCTGTAAGAGATGGGCCTGGCAGACCAGGCAAAGGAGCAGAGTCAGAGTTTCAGTAAGGCAGTGTCACTGGGGCACAGCATCCAAAGGCCAGCAAGGGCAAGGAAGGCCAAGGCCCTGCGCTACAGTGCTAGAGCAGGGCTGCTTAACACTTCCCCTTTTCACCTGAGGAATTATGCAACCCTAATATATAAAATAGGTACACAAACCAAACATTTACTATCAATATCATGAAAAAAATATTTTAGTCAATTCTTTGAGCTAGCCATGGTAGCCAGCACTCAGGAGGCAGAGGCATGATTATCTCAAGTCTGAGGCCAACCTGGTCTACATAGTGAGTTCCACGTAGTTGGTGCTGCAGAGTAAGACCCTGTCTCAAGAGAAATAGAAACCACCCCCTCCTCAAACCTGCAATTCTTTATGTACTTTACCCTTTATTAAAGACTAAATCAATTTTTTGTTTTGTTTTGTTGGTCTTTTGGAGGCAGGGTCTCCCTGTAGCCCCAGCTGACCTGGAACTCACTATGTAGACCAGGCTGGCCTCGAACTCACAGTGCCTCTGCCTCCCAAGTGCTGGGATTAAAGGCGTGCGCCACCACGCCCAGCATTAGACTAAAGCAATTTTTGTTAATGAGTGCTTATTTTTACATAAGAATTATTCTTGGCTGAACATTTGATAACTTCAGGACATAAATTATCTTCATTTTTCAGAATTGATATTCTGATTTCATAATTATTAATACTACCAATGCCGCTTTGCATAAATTCATAGTACAAATAGCAAAAGCATACTTAGGATTATTTTAGAAATTGTTGAGGGGCTAGGAAGATAGCTTGGTCAGTAAAGTGTTTTCTTGCCTATAAGCATGAGGACCTGAGTTCAATTCTCAGAACCCACATCTTTTTTTTTTTTTTAAAGCCGAGTATGGTGGTGTACACTTTTAATCCTAGCACTTGGGAGGCAGAGGCAGGTTGATCTTTGAGTTCAAGGCCAGCCTGGTCTACATAGTGAGTCCCAGGCTGGCAAGCAAGACTGGCTCAAAAAGCCAGGCATGAAGGCACAGCACTGGAGAGGCGGGGTGCGGCAGCACAGGCCTTCTTACTCCCAGCACTCGGGAGGCAGAGGCAGGCAGATCTCTGTTGAGTTGGAGGCCAGCCTGGTCTACATAGTGGGTTCTAGGCCAGCTGGGGCTACAGGGAGACCCTGTCTCAGAAAATAAACAACTCAAAACCAACACTGGGGAAGTGAAGACAGGTGGTCCCTTGGGGCTCCTGCCAGCCAGTCTAGTCTACTTGGCAAATTCCAAGGAAGTGAGAGGCCCTGTCACACATACACACACACAAGTAGGCAGTTCTGAAGAACAATACAGAGGCTGTCTTCTGGCCTACACACATGCACATGTGTATACACACACACAAGGGAAATTGTTGGAAATTCTGTCCTAATCTCAAGCCAAAATTTATTTAATGACTTTTTATGAAACTCAAGACAGCAACTCAAACATCAATTTCTGAAATCAAGCATTCATTCCAACATAATGCAATTTAAAGATATACTAATTTGGTCCTCACATGCTGAGGAATGAAAATAGGAAAATATTATAAGGCTTTGTTTTCCGTAATTAAGCCATTGTGTCTCTATAAGCATTAAACTGTGCACAGTACAAACAGCTGCAGTTCATGACACACAGCGTCTCCAGCCTGAGCTGAGGACTTTCAAGCAGTGTTCACTGGCGCTGCATGGCCTGTGAGACACAGCACATGTACAGTGTGTTCACAACCAAGACTGCAGGGAGGTCACGTGATATCATAGGGGCAACAGCTGCCAGAAACCACATCCCCATTCAATATGCATCTAATTCTAAATTCTTGGTTGTTGTATGTTCAGAAACCTTTTGATGATACCATATTTCGTGATTCCCATATTCAATCTAAGAGCTGTGCTCTAAGAAATAAAAAAGCACTGACCTTCTTTTTAAAGACACTTTTCTGAAAAACTTAAAAGAAAAATTTTATTACTTTTATTTTATGTGTATGAGTGTATTGCTTGCATGCACCCGTGTCATGCAATGCTGTGGAGGTCAGAAGAGGGCTTCAGATTCCCCTGGAACTGGAGTTAAGGACGGTTCGTAGCCGCCATGTGGGTGCTGGGAACTGAACCTGGGTCCTCTGCAAGAGCAGTCACTAACTCTTAACCGCTGAGCCATCTCTCCAGCCCCAAGACTAACTTTTTAAAGTTAAAAATTTACAAAAACTGGGCTGGGGGGTTAGCTCAGTAGGTAAAGCACCTGTCTTGCAAGCATGAGGACCTGAGCTTGCTTCCGAGTACCCGTGTAAAAACCAGGTGAACACTTCTAACCCATACTAGACTAGCACTGTAGAACTAGAAACAGGCATATTCCTGGGGCTCTGGACAGCAGGCCTAGCCTAATTGGTGAGCCCCAGGTTCCAGTGAGACCCTGTTTCAAAAGACAAGGTGAATGGCTCCCAAGGAGCTACCGGGTACCCCTGGCCTTCAACGCATGTGCACATGTGTACACGCACCTGCATTCACAAGAACCTGCATAAAAAATTTACAAAAACTAAGCCTGGGTGGTGACTCACACTTGTTAGGACTTGGGAAACTGAAGAAGGAAAATAAATTCAAAGCCAACTTGAACTATACACTGAGTTCCAGGTCAGCTTAAGCTATAGAAACAGGTCTCAAAACAACAACAATAAACTTAAATTATATATTTGAACTGCAGAAAGCTTGTATTTACATTAATGGAAGAAAATGAAATCACCCCCACACAGGCAGGCCATGGTTACCTGCAGCACTTTGCCATCCCCAAGTCCCTTTTCCATATATAACAAAACCAATGTGACTAAAAACATGGTGTCCACGTATTTAATCAACTGAATGTGAACATCTCACGTAGGTTAAGCACGGTTCACTTATCAGCTGTGACAACACTGACAACCAAGTCCTCTCACCAGCAGGGCCGCTGCCATCGTAGCACTTACTACAGCCCACACTGAAAGGAGCTTCATAAAGCCACCGCACTCATGAGCTACTCCCTCAAGTTAGATCTCAAAAGAGCAAAGGGAGTGGATCCTGAGGCTTTCAGCACACGCTCTGGAAGCGCACACCAATATGTGACAGTCACAGTGCGCCACGCACTTAAGATTTAGCCATGTCTACCTGACAAGAACAGACAGTGGACACCACGCATGGTCATCACAGGTGATGGTACTTTGTTCTGTGGCTGGACGACCAGGGCACACCTCATTCAGGACACTGCCAGAAACACACTAACAATCAGCCTTCACGAGGAGTTTCCTCATCTGACCCTCGAGCGGCCGCTGACAGGTGCTGTCTTCTCCATTTGTAGCTGAGAGGCCGAGGCTGGGAGATGGTAAGGAATCTGCCGAAGGGCAGGTCCAGAGCTGGAGAGGGACCGGGCGGACACTGAAGACCAGGCACTGTGTTCAAAGGTTGGTGCGAGGCACGTGCACTGTCCATGTTCTCTGTGAGGATCATTTTTATTGTGTCATAGAATCAAAACCACAAAGTTCCTGAAAGCTTGTGAAATCATTTCGAAGACTAATCATGACACATTCAGATTCAAGGTTAGAAAAAAAGCCTCCAAAACTCCTGGGCTTTCATCACAGCTGTCACACATCTCCAAGTAGCAACTTCTCTCACGTCACCTGGAGACCACCCCAGGTTCGATGATGGGGACTACTGCCTACTCTAGAATGCGGTCAAAGCTGCTACTTCTGAGATAAGACGCCGGTACCCTGCCGGCTGCCTCCTTCCTAGCTTGTGGGGAGGCCATGAGGGTTGAGTGCTAACAATTAATACCTTATTCCCGTTCAAGAGGTAAAACCAACAGTATCAGCATACAACATTCACTGAGCACTGCCATGTGCCCAGCCCAACACTAAGAGCTTCATCTGCATTGACAGGACAGCAGGTCAGCCTACGATGTGCTGGCACCACACATCAGAGATGTGGGCAGAGTCAGCTTATTTAAAATTTTTTTTGGAAGACAGGGTCTCACTACATAGCCCTGGCTAGAACTCACTATGTAGACCAGGATGGCCTCAAACTCACAGAGATCTGTGAACCACCACACCTGCCACCACACCCACTCTGCTGGATTGTTGTGTAAAGTCAAAGAGTCTGTAAACAACGCAGGACCTGAATACAAGTGGTCAAGATGAAATCGACTGACCTGGGCTCTTTCCTCGCCCACTGAAACCCCTTGAGTCCTCTAAGTTCACATACTTCTCGGCATCCTCAGCTGCCTCTTGCAAAATGGCTCTGGTGAGCAAGAACTCAGAGGGTTAAAAACCAAGTTTAAAACAAAACCCCAAACCATAAATGGCACTTGGAACAGACTCAGGTGACCAGGGAGCTGAAAGTGGGACAGTAACACAGGCTGGAGTACCTGGGACTTCCAGACCTGAGGGCAGATAAGCTGTGTCCATGAGTAACCTTCAGCAGGGTCACCTTTCTGAACTTCTGTTTCCTTGACTACTGAAACAAAAGAGCAAAGCCTCAGGCCTGGGCCTGCTTCCTTCAGATCACCTCGACCCTCCCACTGAGGCTTTCTTCCACTTTCCAGGACAAGATGGCTCCTATTCCAAACGTGTGCAGCAGGCTTCCCAGGTCCAGAAGGGAAGTGCCCCTCCTGCATGCTGCCTAACTCCCTAAGAATGGCCAGGCTAGGAGTCACTCCACTATCTAAAAGCGGGTAAGGTACGTCAGGAACACAAGCTCACTCTGCAGAGGGAAGTCGGGGACCAAAGCCTTTTGGTGCGCAGTACCCTCTCCCAACCTAAAGTGCTCACGAGTGCAGCGCTGCGTCTTGTTGACAATGACAGCCGCCGCGCTCAGCAGTACCATATGGGATCCACAATTTAGCTCCATTAATGCTCTTAATTTGAAGACATCAAGCCCTAATTACACACTGGGCACTAAAAAGGCAAAAGCCTTCCCTGGTGCCAGCTACTTAGTGCTACTCAGTCGCCGTAACAGCTGGCTGAGGTAGCGCGCTCCAAGAGGGTCTGTGCGCTCTCTCAGGTGGAAGAGGCGACTTGAGAGCAGGAGAGCCCAAGAACAATAGCCCCTTCACCACATCTACGCGGCAGAGTGGACTCCTTTACCTCCAGTGGTTGCCCAGTTTTCAGCTGGTTCTTTCCTGACCCAGTGGAGCCTGAAAGGGCCCAGGCAGAGCTCGAGGCCTATGGCCACAGGGCGGGGGCGGGTGGAGTGGGCTCACCTCCTGTTCCAGGTTGCCATGCAGCCGTAGGAATTTCAATGGCAAGGAGGCAGATGGTGGCTGCTCTGAAGTGGGGACCCTGGAGTGACTCAGCAGGGTATGGAGGAAGAGGCTGTAGTGGAACTCCACCAGCTCGCAACTGGAGAAAAAGACGATCATCTTCTGGCCCTTCTCAAACTGCACAACAGACAGAAGCAGGAGAGTCACTGCAAGCTCGAGCCCGGGTGACACCAAGCCGAGCACTTCTCTAAAGCACACGCCTGCTGGCCCCAACGTGCAGACACAGGTGACACAGCTTTGAACGAGTGAGAAATACCAACGTCGATATCCCACTCTACAGGAATGAAGAAAGGGAATGACAGAGCTCCAACCTCAGAAAAACAAATACATCCGAGGGCAAGCTGTCCCTTATGCTTGGCTGGCCACTTCCACCCACGTCATCCCCCAATGGAGTCAGAACACTTGCCGTGCCTCCTCTCACTGTTACGGACACCTGGCACAAGGTGGTGACGTTCCTTCCCGGGCAGGCCAGGTGTCAGTCTCACCTTGCACTTCTGCAGGATGAATGCTGCAAGGCAGACCAAGCGCAGCTTGCTGGGCACCAACGTCACATGCTGGTCGAGGCTCTCTGGTATGGCAAAGCTGTCCAGCCAGGTGCCAGTTTGTGGAGAAGCAGTTTCCTTAGGGTTGGGTTGGTCACAGCTTTCATCCAGGACAGATATACTGACTGGATTGTGCAAACTGATGTCAGCCAGCCGTGTTACACCTTGGACACAGTGAAAAGGACAAAGTAGGAAGGTCATGCATACATCCCTGTAGTGCCCGCCAAGGCTAGTGAAGTCCAACATCGGCCTGTGGGTAACTCACAGCCCAATGGCTGCCTGCCTAGCATTTTCTATGCTCTTACATCCAAAGGCATACCAGCAAGATCTGTATCTCTCACTCCCAAGGTTCCCTGGTCATGACATAACCTTAGATTAAAACAGCTTCCTCATCTTCTTGGCTCCAGGCCTTCTCAGGGTCCGATCTCAGTACATGACCCCCAGGACAGAGGGTGGGAAACAGTTCTCAAACTCCCACAATGACAGAATCTCTCTTTTTTGTGGATTAGCTCTCAAAACGGATTCTCCTTAGCAATACTTTAGAAGTCACGTGATGGCCAGGCTTTGTGGCACATGCCTTAATCCCAGCACTCTGGTGGCAGAGGCAGGTGGAGCTCTATGAATTTGAGGCTAGCCTGGTCTACATAGCTCCAGGCCTGCCAGTGACACCGTCTCAAAAAGAGAAAAAACAAACAAACAAAAACCAAACACAGCAAAGGCCATGCAAATGGCACCTGGACATGCATGTCTTCTGTGGCCTGGAAAGTCAAGTACCACAGACACAGGGCCATGAAATCGTGGCATCTACACAAGGATTCTCACTACTCAGGGCGAGACTGCTCAAATGGTTCCATTTCCCAAGCCTTAGTTTTCCCATCTGCAAAACAGTTAAGAATTTCTATTGCATGGGGATAGGAGTCAGAAACAAGCCAAGGAATATGTTGTTTTGATGAGAAAGGAGGGTGATCTCATTGACGAGGGTGCTCAGAAGGCATGGCCTGCAGAGCAGGGCCTCGCAGACCCTCCGTGTCAATGGGGGCCACCTGTCTTCTTCTGCACCCTGGTATGCGCACCACGGCTACTCCTCCCTTCCCAGGCCGTGGGGACTGGGCATGTAGAAAGTGGGAAAGGCTGGCCTCCAGGGGACCCTGCTGCCCTCCCCAAGTGTAGCACCATCAGGTGGGCCCACAGCTTCTTCTCAATGCACCTTCTGTGAGTGTCGCCGACAGCAGGACGTTCTGCCGTTTCTGACACTCGGCATTTACAGCATTCAAGATCACCGTGATGTCCTTCTCGAAACCCAAGTCCAAGATCCTGGGATTGAAGAGAAGGAATGATATCTACGAGAAGGGAAGATCTGACAGGATGAGGTCACGCGCCCCCAGGGATGGCAGGACAGGCTCCCACCCTTCGTGCCTCCTGGATGAGGCTCACCTGTCTGCTTCATCCAAAACCAGCCACTGGATCCGGCCAAAGTGAATGTTCTTTGTGGATTTTATATGATCCACTAGACGTCCGGGAGTTGAGATAAGGATATTTATTCCTTTGCGGAGTCTGTTTAAAATCATGTATCATAAAAGAAAGCAAATTAAGCAGAGTTGGAACAACAGAAACACAAGAAATGCAAAGGAGACAGACTCAGGTGTAACGCACAACTGTGCCACAGCCTGAAGTCAGGGTGAGACGCGAACAGCCAAGTGAGATTTCCACTCTGTAGTCTATAACCTAAAATTGTATTAAATCATAAACCTTGTCCTTTAAAAACAATGTTTAAGTATACAACCCAATGCTTTTATCTGACCCACATTCCTTCTAGAATGTTCTAGAGAGCTGGTCATCTAGCCAGTTTTTTTTTCCCCTTTGTTAAAGATTTACTTAAAAAAAAAAAAAAAAAGACTTATGGACTGGACAACCAGCTCAGTGTTAAGAACACATACTGCTCTTGCAGAGGACCCATGATCAGTTCCTAGCATCCACATCAGAAGTTCACAACTGCCTATAAACTCCAGGAACTCGATGCCCTATTCTGGTCTCTACAGGCACCTGTACTCACAAACCTACACACAAATAGACACATTAGTGCTCACAGCTCTGAGCCATCTCTCTAGCCCTTACCTATGTGTGTCTATGTGCACATACCATGTGTGGGGCCAGAGGGGTGTTGGATCCCTGGAACTAGACTTATGGGTGTTTGTGAGCTGCCTGATGTGGGTGCTGGGGTCTGAATTCTGACATGGCAGTAAGGCCTCTTAACCTTCGTGCCATTTTCCCAGCCCCAGCCAGTTCTGGCAGACGCCGGTGCCAGTGAACCAAGTGAGCCCATGTGCTCTAATGGTGGAACGTTTTTCTGACACCTAGCCCTTCGGGCTTCTGTAACATGGGCCTCCATTCTGCTTCACAGACTTTGTAGACAAAAGCTAGCTTAAAATTTTAAAAATTTAGGTGGGTGTGGTGGCGCACACCTTTAATCCCAATGCTTGGGAGACAGGTAGATCTCTGTGAGTTCGGGGCCAGCCTGGTCTACATAGCGAGTTCCAGATCAGCCGGGACTACAGGGAGACCCTGTCTCAAAAAGATACACAAATTTTTTTTTTAATTTATTCTTTAAAACTTCCTATGTATATTCAACGTATCCTGATCATATCCATTCCAACCCCTCCCCGGAGACGCTGCCCCAGCACCCACTGTACATCCCTCTCCCACCTTCATGTCCTCTTTATTTCACTTGTTTTAGTTTCTTGTTTCCCAAACAGCCATTATCCCATTATTCCACAGTAAAAGACATGACAGAACTCTTCCTGGACACACTTTCTTACTTTCAGTGCACCACTATGCCTACGCTCTGGCAAGGGAATGAAAGACAAGAGTGTGCAATCACACAAGCACCTTCGCAGAGGTACTGACTATTTGTGTTAGTTCTGGAGAGAAACGCTAAGTATGATGGCTGGAACACAGCAGTGGCTCAAGACCAAGAGGTAACCTTGACAACCAAAGCCTCCCATGAGGGCACAAGAAGGAAGGAACCTCATCCTGACATCAGAGCACCAGGCCGGCCCTGTCGGGACCTTACCCTGACATCAGAGCACCAGGCCGGCCCTGCCTGGACCTCACCCTGACATCGGAGCACCAGGCCGGCCCTGCCCGGACCTCACCCTGACACCAGAGCACCAGGCCGGACCTGCCCGGACCTCACCCTGACATCAAGAGCACCAGGCCGGCCCTGCCCGGACCTCACCCTGACACCAGAGCACCAGGCCGGCCCTGTCCAGACCTTACCCTGACATCAGAGCACCAGGCTGGCCCTGCCCGGACCTCACCCTGACATCAGAGCACCAGGCCGGCCCTGCCCGGACCTCACCCTGACATCAGAGCACCAGGCCAGCCCTGTCCAGACCTTACCCTGACATCAGAGCATCAGGCCAGCCCTGTCGGGACCTTACCCTGACATCAGAGCACCAGGCCGGCCCTGTCCAGACCTCACCCTGACATCAGAGCACCAGGCCGGCCCTGTCCAGACCTCACCCTGACATCAGAGCACTAGGCCAGCCATGCCTGGACCTCACCTCTTGAATCTGAAAAAAAAAATAAAATCTCTACCTCATTTGTGTCATTTTTTATTGCAGTTACTATTTATCACTGAATGTAGCCTAACAATACTTTTTTTTTTTGGTCTTTTTGAGACAGGGTCTCCCTGTAGCCCCAGCTGGCCTGGACCTCACTTTGTAGACCAGGCTGGCCTCAAACTCACAAAGATCTGCCTGCCTCTGCCTCCTGAGTGCTGGAACTAAAGGCATGAGCCACCACACCCGGATATTTATTTATTTACTATCTGTCTCACTATGTAGACCAGACTGGCCTGTAACTCAGTGATCCACCTGCCTCTGGCAAGTGCTGGGACTAAAGTGTGCCACCACGCCCGCCCTAACCAGCACTTTTTGTTTTGAGCTGGCTCTTCAGCTGCAGAGCTGTTAGAACTGCCAACTATTTTAAAAACAACACAGATACTCCGCCATTTACTTGCTCCAACAATTTTCTAATGACACCCGTTACAAGCTCTAATGAGGAGGTAGGAATCAATGCAGCAAGGACTTGTTAAGCATTATGGAAGTTGTCATCTTGGTTTTGTTTCATTTTTAAAATTTATTTTTATTTTATGAGTGTTTTGCCTGCATGCATGTAAGTACACTAGATGCATGCAATACCCATGGAGGCCAGAAGGCAGCATCAGATTCCCTGGAACTGGAGTTTCCATATGGGAACAGAACACTGTTCCTCTGCAAAAGCAGTCAGTCCTCTTTAACCGCTGAGCCATCTCTAGTCCTTGTTTTATTTTTTTTTAAAAAAGATTCTCATGTAGCCCAGGCTGGCCTTGGACTTACTCTGTAGCTGAGGCTAGCCTTGAATTCCTAATCCGCCTGTCTCTGCTTCACAAGTACAGGTCCAAGTATCATTTTGTTTTTACAGATCCAAAAACAAGCTTGCAGACTCTCAACGTGCACAAAGGGAGTCATGCAGGGTGCACAAACATGGTCTGCAGAGTAGCAAGGGTTAGGGTAGGCAGGCCACAGCACTGTCCCTCATCACATTAGAAGGAAACCTATGATTAACAGCACTGTCAAAAGTAACCAGAAGGCACTGTGGGAGAGAAGGCTCTGTCAGGGTTTGAATGGCTGAACGGACAGGACAGACAGACTCCACAGGAATGAAGAAACCCACCCCCTCATACCTGGCCTTCTCAGACTTCCTCTTCTCTCCGCCCATCAGCACTCCAGGTACAATCCAGGTGAATGGCTACAAAAAGACAACAGACCTAATCGACACAAGGCTCCCTTCCCCAGAAGCAGAGTGACTGCTAAGTTCCCCACAAGCCATCCGGCAAGAAGGACTCGGGCTCTGCACATGTGAGGGTTACTGTGCATATGCCATTTCCGGGCACCGAGCCCCAAGGGTTAATACCTGCAGTGTTTGAATTGCAGCTATCTCACGGCTCCCAGTGCTTTCAGACACCATGTGAGCTTCCGCAATGTTTCAAGTAGCTCCCCTGCTTACTCCCCAGAGTCCAAATAGGAAACAAACTTCAGTGAGTCCACTGCCTCAAGGGAGTGGGGGGGTAAAACTTAGGCAACATTCTCCCTACTCTCTCCAGATCTAAGAAAACAAAGATCAACTCACAACCTAGCTTGGTGGGGTGCAGAGCCTTGGCCCTGCAACCTCTCTCTTTCTCAAACCCTGCATACAGTTTGTACTGCTTTCCCTTGGGTGACCTGAAGGAAGGCTGCACCTGTGAATCTGTACTCAGCTTGCCACAGAGGAGGGTGAACAAAATGCAGGACTTGAACCTTCAGGAAGCACTTGTAATTCAGCTAAGCTAGAAATAAACTGTTAACAAACGTTTTCACCAGTAGAAACCTACAAACTATCCCTAGAGAAGTCAGAGGCGTGCTGCGAAGGAGGAGAATCATTCCTCTTCCTTGACAATGCTATACCACACGAATCTCTCCTCAGAATGTCAGAAAGGGAACGGCGGCACTCATCTCACAATGCAGCTTACCTTAAGCAGTTTCTGGACAGTGTCAAAGCTCTGTAGGGCCAACTGGAAAGAGTAAAAGTTAGAGACAATGAGCAGGGTCTCCTGCTTCCTTTTTGTAGAGAAAAGAATCAAAACTAAGGATGCAAACTTGGACCTCAAGTCAAGGCAAGAGAAAAAGTAATCCCCCCCTGAGAATCTACTCTGAAAACACCCTTTTTCTGAAACTGGTTTTGAAACCTATCAGCTTGGGGAATGAGGGAGGGTAAAGACATCAGAGCTAGTTCTTAGACACGTAAAAAATAGTGTTCTGTGCTCCCTCTGCTGGCTCAAATTCCCAAAATGTCACAGAGAAGCTCAAGTCTATGGTGCAAGAGGAACACAATGAAACCAAGTCAACTTGAACTTGGCTCTCCTTAGAAAGAGGAAGGAGGAAGCATCAGGTAGAACAGTGGTACAACAGGCTAGCCTTCGGGAACCCTCCTTTAGGGTGACATGCTACAGCTTAAGGCTGTGCCAGGGCGTCCCAAGACTGGCAGGTGGTCGTTCCCAAGTTTACAAAAGAAAACCAGCAAGACCAGTTTCCACTGGAAATGTGAAAACTAATGTAGGTACAACCACGAACCACCACTCAGCCTCTACAGAGGCTTGTTATCCAAGGACACACATGGCTTCCACGGGTTTAGTATGTATGAAGCATTCTAGGGAAACAGCAATTCAGCTGCTGAAAAAATTTACATGGCCTCCACATGTGCTCCTCCCTGGGGCAGAACAGACAGGGCAGGACAGGCTGTATGAAGGGCTGGCTGGACACTTCCATTTCCCACAAGCTCTCTAGAAGCAACCAGCATCTGATAAGGGAAACACACTTAATCTGAAGTATCTCTGGACAAATCACAAAGATCAGACAGAAATGTCTCCATGAAAGAAGGACGTACTAAGACGCTTGGCTGTCATGGGTAAGAATTTTAATCACAGTAGTTCCTTTTTAAAAGGGGGGGGTATTTTTAGAGCCAACTATTTCTGAATTACTTAAATTTTTTTAAAATATAAAAATGCAATTCTTTTCATCCCTTCTAAAGGTACAGAAATTCCAGTATCATTAGTTTTTTAAACAATGGAAAAATGCTTCTTCATACTGAGCTTGTGATTTTTCAGAGCACTTAAACTTTTCTCCTTAAAAGGATGCAGCAAGATGATCCTCAGGAAAGCGAAGGAGGCTCAGTGGTCTGTTCAAAGGGAGGAAGACGGTGAGAGTACTGAAGTCCACATGTACGGAAGCTTTCTGCTGCAAGGAAGCTGCTTACCTCTCTAGTTGGCACTAGAACCAGAGCGTAGGGGCCGTCACCGCGCTGTTGACAAAGGAGGGAAATGCCATAAGTACAGCTCCAGGTGTGGGCTCAGGCAGGAGGGTCAGGAACTGAGGCTCTTGGGCTACATGAGACCTTGCCTCAAAAACAACATACAAACAAAAACCTTTACAAACAAAAAAAGTACAAAATCTACCAGGCATGATGGCTCACGCCTACAATCCCAGGACTTAAAGAGGCTTAGGCAGGGGAATCTTGAGTCTGTGACGGGCCTGAGCTACACCACAAAACATTGTTAAAAAAAAAAAAAAAAAAAAAACGCGGGGGGGACGGGGGGGGGGCAGCGGCGGGGAGAGGGGGCTTGGCAGTTAAGAGCACTGGCTGCTCTTGCAGAGGACCTGGGTTTGGTTCCCAGCACTCACATGGCAGCTAACAACCATCCATAACTCCAGTTCCAGGGGATCTGATGCCCTCTTCTGACTTCTGTAGGCACTGCATGACACAGGTATACTTATATACATGCAGGCAATATACACATAAAATAAAAAAATAATGGGCTGGAGAGTTGGCTCAGCAGTTAAGAGCACTGACTGCTCTTGCAGAAGACCCAGTTCAATTCCCAGCATGGCAGCTAACAACCTCTCTAACTCCAGTTCCAGGGGATCCTGCACCCTTTTCTGACCTCACGACACAGGTGACTTACACACATGCAGATGATACACTCATATGCATAAAATAAAAATAATTAAAAATAAATAAATAAAGCCGGGCATGGTGGCGCACACCTTTAATCCCAGCACTTGGGAGGCAGAGGCAGGTGGATCTTTGTGAGTTCGAGGCCAGCCTGGTCTACATAGTGAATTGCAGGACAGCTGGGGCTACAGGGAGACCCTGTCTCAAAAAGACAAAAACATAGATAATTTTTTTAAAAGAAAAAGGAACAAAATCCATATGAAAAAAAAATTAAGATGCCTGAGGGGCATAAAATAAAACCTGAAAAAAACCCAAGATGGAGATTCGCTGTTTTCGGAGAAGATTCAGCACAGTTCATGCTCCCTAAGTCAGCTCATAATGTAACGCAGTTCTAACAAACTGCCACAGGACACGCATGTGAAGATAACCATGTGAGCTGATTTTAAAGTATTTTTTTAAAGTGTAAAAATAACCAAGACATTTGTGAAAAACACACCAGACGTTAGAATAGTTTAAAGCTACAGTAGTTACAAGCGTGCCGGTGTACAGAGGTTACAGGAGCAAGAGTGGGTGGCAGAATCAGATACACAGACGGGAAAACAGGGGCCACTGCACATCAACTGGGAAAAGACGGGTCCCTCCTAAGACCTCGGAGGGAAAGAAAGTAAAACGAAGATGCCGTTTTTACAGACAGCACAGCACCTCTGAACCTTCAGAGGAACACCGACAAACGGCATTGCACAGAAAGCTGCCGGCATGCGGGTGAGGGCTCGGACAGACACACCCCGGTGGCACGCACACTGCTAAAACCCCTTCACGGATCAGCATTAGCTACCAAAATAAAACCACAAGCTCCACTTTCAGGAACTTTTCCCACACATACACATGTCAGTAAAGAAGTTGAGACTATTTCACCAACTCTACATCATTTATAATTGTCTGTTTGCAGTGAGAGAGGAGATACTCTGTACACTCCAACAAATATGGAAATGGCTCAGTTATGTATGACACACATATACAAAGGAATATTGAGCAATCATTAAAAAGAACAGGACAGGGCCTGGAGAGATGGTGCAGCGGTTAAGAGCACTGGCTGTTCTTGCAGAAGACTAGGGTTCAAATCCCAGCACCCACCGTCTATAACTCCAGGTCAAGGGAATCTGACGGCCCCCTCTGTTCTCTTCGGACACTGCATGACACAGGTGCACTTACGCACAATGCACTTACGCATACACATAAAATAAAAATAAATAAGTAAAGAGAATAGGGCAGTCAAGTATCATGGTACATTCCTGTAATCCCAGCACTTGGGAAATGGAGGGAGGAGCAGAAGTTCGAGGCCATCTATGGCCAGTTCAAACTGAGGCGTGTTTGAGCTTCACAGGACCCCTGCCTTAAAGAAAAGCAAACAAACAGCAAAAGGAACAGGCAGAGACTAAAAGCTGTACAAGTAAGAAATCACCCACCGAACAGGCGCAAAGACAGCACAGCAGTAGTCCCAACACACAGGAAGCCGAGGCAGGAAGAGTCCAAGCTTGAGGTCAGCCTGGGCCACAGCCTTGTATCAAAAACAACACAACACAAAGATGGCTCAGAGGAGAAGAGCACTGGCTGCTCTTGCAGGGGACTGGCAGGTTTATAGCATCCACATCAGGCAGCTCACAACTGATTTTAACTCCAGTTCCAGGAGATCTGACACCCTGTTCTACACACACACACACACACACACACACACACACACACACACGACAAATAAACCACACCATACATCAGGAGGAGCTTCAAGGGAGGAGACACTGGCTTAGTTCCCACTCCATATTCTTGTTATTCTTCGACTGTTCATTTTTTTCAGGTATGTTGTGTCTAAACAATACTACTAATAAAAGAAACCAAAGAAATCTGGTGACGGCCCTAAGTCACCAGTCCCTTGCATATCTAGGGCTCAGAGATGGTATGGCTGAACAAACCAACCACTGACGATGAAGAAGCTAAGGGCGAGCTCAGCTGCAAATTCAATTAGAGTATGGCTTTCATGTTTTGCACTGGAAACATTTACCCACGAGGAGAGGAGGATTTAGAATTTGAATGCTGGAGTAGTCTATACTCAACACCAACTTTGTGAGACTACACTGGAGCCCAGGCAAGGAACGGTAAACATGCTGGTACAACAGAATTAATGTGCCACTGCATGACGTTAGGAGAGCCTGACATTTCAAAAGGTGGTACTACACAGACAAGAAGAAAGAAAACCAATTCCTTGAAGGGAAGAGCATGTGAAGCAAGAGTGCCAAGAGAGCTGGAGGAGAGCGGACTTCACAGCAGCGGTCCCGCCCCACCCCCACAGCACTGGGCAAACACGCAAGACCCAGAATTGACTCCTGCTCCCAGGAAATTTGGGGGGGGTCACATTATTTTATAATAAACTTCCAGGGACTGGACTGAGTATGACTTGAAACAAGTGGATTAAATTGTGGCTTATAAAAGGTCTTATGAAACACTTTTCTGTTTTTTTGAGACAGGGTCTGATTATGCGGGCCAAGTTACCTTCTAACTCACCATCCTGAGCCCATGCCTCCTAAGTGTTGGGATTACAGGCATGCGTCACCATGTCCAGTTTGGAAAACCGTTTCTACAGTACATTTCAATCTTTGGTCTAAGTGATATTAAAAAAATACCCAAGCCAACATAGGAAACTACTCAGCTTGTTGTTAATGGTTATGAATACCATCATCAAAGCCAATCATTGCCCTTTGAAGGGGCCACATGACAGTGTTGATGACAACTAGTAGCCAGTGCCCAAATCCAGGCGCCAGGTCTCAGTATGTCACATGTGCAGCTCACTTTATCCTGTCCTAACCTAACCCATGCAGAGAGGAGGGAATGATCTTCCCAGTTTTACACTCAGGGCAGGAGGGGTATAGGGGTGTGTGGAGTAACACGACAGAGCGTGCACTCAACATGCACAGAGCCTGACTCAGCCTCAGTACTTGAAATAAAACAAACAAAACCACCACTCAAACCAGAGATTGAACAGAGCCTCCCACAGGTCTGCCTGCTGTGAAAGCCATCTGATCACTTGCTCCCAGTTCACAGTCTATGACACGAGAGCTGGGCTACCACTGTGGGATTCAGTGCAAACATTCCCAAACTACAAACCAGCATGAAGAAAAAAACCCTTTACTGGCCCGAAGCTCTAGAGTGTACAGGATGAAACTGTCAACACACGTTAAGTTACAGTCATTCTTCTCTGACAGTGTACCAGGGACAACCACTAAGTACTTTACATGAACTAGCTCTCTGTAAAGCAGTTAAAGAGGGAAAAGTCATTTAGCCTTAGAAAATATCCAACTCAGAGAAAACCACTATTATGCTGAGCCTGCCACGGTGGTGCATGCCAGTCACTGCAGTACTTGGAAAGTGGACGCTAGAGGATCAGGAGTTCAAGGCCAGCCTGGGCTACATGAGACCCTTCCTCAAAAGACCAAAGAAAGAAAAGAAAAACTCACAATCTGCTGGTACAATCTGTTGGTATCTTTCTAATATGATATACAACCAACTGTACACACTGAGAGCATCATTTATTAAACCGAAGCCATAGGGTGCAATTCTTTATCTAACACTGAGGACACTTGTTCAAACTCACAAACAGCAATTTAGCACCCCCCCGGCTTTTTTTTTTTTTTTTTTGAGACAGGGTCTCCCTGTAGCCCTGGCTGACCTAGAACTCACTATGTAGATCAGACTGGCCTCAATCTCCCAGAGATCCGCCTGCCTCTGCCTCCCAAGTGCTGGGATCAAAGGCGTGAGCCACCACGCCTAATCCTGTTTCTTTTTTTTAAACTGGGATATTAACATCTGTAATTTGGTGAGCAGGTGGTAAGAGACTCAAGAGGGTAAGGTGGACAGCATTCACCACATCTGGCAGCCTGCCCTGCACCTGCCGTGGTGACTGTGGCAAGCCTCTTCTACTTCACTCTTGGCACAGCTGTGTTTACCTCACAGGAAGACAGAACAATGCTACGTGAACACAGACCTTCCCAGTGCTAATGTCACCACTAGGGTCCAGCGGGACAGCAGCCTGGGCACAATGATGACAGCAGATGTCTTATGCTCACCTGTATTTTTGACTTCAGTCCTTGAAGAGACTGGACCACAGGGATGCAGTAGGCCAGAGTTTTACCTTTTACAAGAGTGAAAAATCAGTTAAGATGGAGACCAACTTTGCTTTCTTGGATGATACTAAATGTGGGCGAAGGTAAACTGCATATCCAGTTTCCAAGAGAGGAGGAAGGTGCATCACCTGTCTGCCATGGTGCCCGCACTGTCATTCAAAAACCCCTGAAGATTCAGCTCCTTTCAAATTAGACCAAGGCTCGGCCTGATGGTCGTCTGGGGAAGCTGGCAAATGGCTGCTCCAGAACCAGCTGCAGTCACGGTTAAACAGCTTCTGCAGTGCTAGTGTGCAGAGCCGGAACCCAAGTCTCTGAAGACAGAGAAAGCTTGGGAGGACAGAGGCTTCCGCTCAACCTAAGTTGGCAAGAGGGCAAAGCAGGTCAGAGAGCAGTCCAGGATGACATCTCCCTGAGATGGTGCCTGTGGTCCAGTCAGAACTGCTTTCATACCAAAGAAAATAGTCACCCCTAACCAGAGTGAAGATGGGCCACTAAGGTCATGGACACCCAAACCCTCAAATAGGCACCTAGGAAGTAGCAGGAGCCAACAACTAATACTTCCTCGTCACTAATGACCACAGCCACCCCTCCTCAGACAAAACAAAGCAGCCATCACTATCACAGACACCCCCCTGAAGAGCCTGCACATCACCATGGGCTCAGTGCCACAGGCCATGGGCAGAGAGTAAAGGGCGACTGACCTGAGCCTGTCTGGGACCGCACAAGGGCATCTCTGCCTTCCAGCAGCACCGGGATGCTCTGCTTCTGAACGCTGGGGCACCCAAAAGAGAACACACCTCATCTTTACAACAGCTCCTCCTGCATGCGGGCAGAGGCACAGGTGGCATGGTGTATGGCCCATGCTTGGCTTTGCCAACCCACTGCCCACTCAAAGTTCCCTACATGCAGTCAAACTGCTGAGAAGATTCTGATGATCAGGGTAAAGTCTCTTTAAATTCCTGGAGCTTTGCAGAAAGTCGGGAAGCCAGCCAGGGGTGGCCGCCACATTAAGCAAATTTTCAAAAAAAATTAGACAGAAATAGCAACAAATTAGAGTTACTCCAGAAGTTCTACTACACCCACTCTGGCCTTCTGTAATGTACACTTTGGGACACACACACACACACATGATTTCCATGCAGAAAAGCAGAAGGAGGCTGCAGGTGATCTATCCAGTCAGCAGCAGCACTCTCCCAGAGACATCGATTCAAGTGTCTACATGTACAAAGCCAGAACCCAAAAAACGACAAATAAAATAAGCAAGGCCAGGCATGGTGGCACGCGAGGCCAGGCATGGTGGCACACGTCTGTCATCCCAGCCCTGGGGAAGCCAAGGCAAGAGGCAGGTAAGTTAGCGGACGGGGCTATGAGACTGTCTCAAAAAAGAAGAAAGCAAAACAGAATGGAAAACCTGGGACCCCTGACTCGTCCACACTCTTTAACTTACGAAGTGAATCTGAACTCAGAGCGCTGACTCCTCCCGCTTTTTACTTCTAAACTTCTATCCTGCAAGGGTCTCTGATGCAGTAAACATTTAAAATACCTTCCCAACATTCCATGGGACCCGAGCAAACATTTATTCCTGTCTTTTTGGTTGACTTCACTCTTACCAGTAAGAAATGGCATAATCAAATCCTGTATTTTGGGCCAAATTATTTTCAGGGAAGCTCCAACAACAGCAGCAGACAACCAGCTATTTCTTACATGTGAGACCTGAGCACCGAAGAGGAAGGAAAACCCAGTCTGCCCAATAAGCAGGCAGAGCGCTCCAGAGGCTAAGCATTCTGTCAAGCCTTCTGTGTAACGGACAGTCTTTCCAGCACCAAGACACAAATGTGCCCTGTCCTCCATCTACAATCTGGATTTCCCCTGGCTACATTCACAGAAACTCTAAGAGCATCAAGAACGGCCTGAGGTTCTTACCTGGTCATGCTGGACAGTCTCAACACTGTATTTATAGTAGAAATCTAAGAGAAGATGAACGAGAAGCACTTGTCAACTTTATGCAAATATACTCAATGACAGAAAAGAGAAAATGCTGTTACCAGTGATTACCATGATTAAGTTCCGCCAACCCCGTATTCTCAGTTGAGGGCAATTCTGCCCTTTACCCCATATTATCTGGAGAAATTTTTGGTTGATACAGCTGGGTTCCTAGATTGTGGTAGCCTAGGATGCTATTAAACATCTAACAATGCACAGGACATACTTCACAATGAAACATCTAACACAACCATCCAAAGGACGAAGGCTGAGAAGCAACCCTATGTGCCCCCCTGAAGAGGAATGGGCAGGCTACACGTCCTGCAAAGGGAATCGAAGCTTTCAGAAGTCTGTACACGCTGCTCTCCTTTGTCGCACTCCAAGGAAAGTCATGCAGTGTTGAAACAAATGGGCTTGGAAGGAAGGTGTCCACCGACTTATAGCAATGTGCCTGTAGCAGCCTTTTTCATTCTCTGAGAATGTGCACTCCCCTTAACTAAGAAGCCAGCTTAGTTCCCTTTCCTACGGCCACTGAGACATCTGCCATGGTCCAGGGATCAGCCGCTGCTTTAAGCCCAATAACTGCAGTCCTGAACTTGAACTGCACTGGGTGAGGGAAAGTCCATTCCATTTACAGAGAGAAAAGCACTGGGGAAGGGATCTCAGCACCCTGGTCTGTCCCAGGAGAATGACCCGACACCCACACCCACTTGGATAACGAGGAGCAGAGACTGAACAAGCACAAAGGACCCCATGGGGTGCTGCATGATACTCACTAGATGCGGGTGGAGGCCCAGCTCATGGAACGCCTCTGGAGCGAACACTTGTTCCCTCGCCTGCTTCACCACAGGTCTGCGGAGGACAGACAAAAGTGGGCATCAGTGCCAAGGCGGCAAAGGAAAAGGCAGCACATTTGACTCCGCTCATCCCCCAAGGGCACCTGCGTCTCAACACACCTGTGGAGTTCTGGGATCTCAGGGTTGTTTTTGAACAGCGATGAAGTTTTGATGCATGGTTTCTCCTCTCGCTTTCCACTGCCTGGACCATCCAAAAATTTCTTCGGAGAAAGCGTTTTGTGTGCGCTCCCTTTATACGTCCTCTGAGTCTCTTTGCTACTGGTTTTCTTGGCTGAGAGAGAGGATGCTCCATGCCTCCGTTTGGCTGGTGGAGCCTCACCGGACACTGGGTGCTTTCTCTTGGTAGCCTTTGCTTGCTGCAATGTTCCCCAAAGAAAAGGTGGAGAAGAGGTGCATTAGTCCATGAAGACGGCCCTCAGAGTGAAGCCTGACTGCCCACGGAATTGCCTTTCTTCCTGCGGAGAGCACTACGCCATATGCCAAGCCATAGTTTAGCGTTTGCAATCTTTCTTTGGCTTTTTCCGAGACGGGGCCAGAGGACAAAATCTGAGTTCATTCATCTACAAGACCTTTCCATCCACCTTAACTGTTAAGTCTCCCAAGATAAGGATGAGGATGAGGAAGAGGGAAGCGTTTTCCAACTGACATTAACCAATTCAGTCTATCCTAAGGGAGGCAGGAACCTCTGCAATGTGTGTGCAGGGGGTCCGTGGAGTTCATCTGTGTGAGGACCGAGGGGCCGGGGGAAATGAATCTTTTCATTTACCAACAAGGCACATTAAGGTGAAACTGCAAAGACATGGGGTAAGTCTCACTCAGCTTGTGCCCGGGAAGCAGAAACTGTTACCACTGTCTTGCCCTAGTCTGGATCTGTCATTCTCTCCCCTCAAACTGCTCCTCTGGATTCAGATGGTCTGCAGACAATTCCTACTCTCTGCTCCCCCTCCACATGAGAACGCAGCTCCATCTATCACTCCCATCATATTATCCCAACCCTCTTCACCTTTCGAGTCCCTGCCTGATTGCTGATCACTGACGATTTGCCACTAGGCATTGCTCTCCTATACCTTAGTTCCAGAACATGAATGTGATTAAATGCATGGTGTCTAAACCTCCCGTAGAAGAAACACCTGATTCTTCTATGTCCTTGGCCTTTCTTCCAGTCTGCCCAAGGACACGGGAGGGCTTCCCTCAAGTACCTAGTGCTCGATTCAGGAGTTTTGGAATTCATTATTTCCTCTTTGTTTGAAATAATGACTTGTATTTACACACTGGCTGGCTTTAGCTTCCAATCAACCTTCCAAAACAAGTAATGAGTCTCTTTTCCTGGCTGTGGTAATTCTTCTCCAAAGAAGTTTTTGATGGTCCAGGTGATGGAAATTCAATAAATACAATTTCAAATCTTAAATATTAATAAAGTAAGCATAGCCCTACTTCACTTTAAAACTTTGTTTTTGCAAAGTTCCCAAGTTTATAAAATTTCAGAGTAAAGAAAGATGAAGCCAGGTTTCGGTCTGTTGAATCATTTACAAGACAGCATGAGATTTGTACCCTTCACCTGACTCACACACTCTGACAGGCACCCCACCACACAGCTTTCTTGAGCTGGCCCTGCAGCCTCTACCAACATCTACCAACACACTTCCTCCATCTCAGGATGCAAGTTACTCTGCTCCAGGCCAGTCCTGGGTTCAGGAAACCTTTCGACCAGACAGACAAGACCTGCCCCCCTGAGCATCCAGGTACCAGAATGAAGAACGCTGTGCAGCGACGGCAACACAGAACAAGCTTCTGCGGCACCTGCACAGCAGTCCATCTAGCTTCCCTTCCCCCTTCTTTGGACTAAATATTTTAAGCAGTACACATGCTTTAGATAGCTGAGCGTCCTGTCACCCTTCGCTACCATGTCACTGTCTCTCAAAAAGCAAACACTCAGAAGCTGGCGTGGCGTCCCATACCTAGAATCCGAGCACCCAGGGGACCAAGGCTGAGTTTTAGGCCAGCCTGGCTACAAAGTGAGTTCTGGGCCACCTGGGCTACAGAGTGAGGCCCTGTCACAAACACACACACAAATAAAGCAAGTGCTCAAAGTGAAGCAGGCTTCCCATGCTGTCAGGCTATAGCAGAGACACCTGCAAGGACTTATAGGAAGGCTTCCACACAGCTCTGCCCACCTTGCCAGTCGGAGGCCGTACACACTGCAACATACTTGCCCTGAGGATAGCACTGTAACAACTTATGAACTGCATCCAATTTGGTCAGAGAATACCAAGTACAGTTGGATTGTTTTCTAGAAAGACTGTTTTCTAGAAAGGCCAAAATACGTGAATTATTTTAGGGTGCGGCAATTACAGCTCAAGCTTTATTTTTCTAAATTTTCTAAAATGAATCTGTATTACTTTAACAAGTAGAAAACATCTTAGAAAAACTTCGCAGTGTTAAGACAGAGCAACTTGCCGGGCATGGTGGCACATGCCTTTAATCCCAGCACTTGGGAGGCAGAGGCAGATAGATCTCTGTGAGTTCAAGGCCAGCCTGGTCTACATAGCAAGTTCCAGGCCAGCTGGGGCTACAACAAGACGCTGTCTCAAAAAGACCAAAAAAAAACAAAGACAGAGCAACTTGATGAAAGCTGTCCAGACTCTTCCACATCCAGTCTACTAGCAACCTATCCTAAGTCCTGGCTCCTGGCAAATCTGCTTCGCACATCTACCACTGGAAACACAAACCAAAGCGCAGATACAGGTAAAGCTTCTATAGGTGCCTCTATTGCCTGTTTGAAAAACAACATTCATTTTGGGGAGATGTACATGTGGAAGTCGTAGACAACTTGGTGGAGTCAGTTCAGTTCTCTCCTTTCACCTTTATGTGGCTTCTGGGGATCGAACTCGGGCTGTAAGGCTTAGTTAGCAGCATGCGCCTTTACCCCAAGCTGCTCACCAGTTGATTTTACCTCTTAACCAATCCTTTTGAGACATTGGATTAAGCACTTATAAACCAAATAATTGATGTGTATGTGCTCAGATCAATCAATACGATTTTGGAATTTTCTTTGCCTCCTTTCATAGCTAGGGATGAACTCAGAGTCTTGCACATGGGAAACGAGCATTCTACCACCAAGCTGCAGCCCCAGGTCTACCTGGCTCTCTATACAAACAAGCACCTCACTGACTTGACGTGGCTATCTACTCCCCAGAAAACAACACAACAACACTTTTTTTTTAAATTACTTAGTAGCTACTTTGAAGGGCCAAACAATACATAGTTATTATTATCTCATTGGGGGCCTCACAATCATTTCCTATTAACCAGAAGTTACTGTTTCCATTTAGGAAAAGTGAGGATCAAAGAAACTGGAACTCCCCCAAGGTCATATGACTAGTGTGTTGCAAAGCTGGCATCTGGCGTCTAACCCACTACAAACCTCTGCCTCCACCCCCACCACTCCCAAAGCTTGTCCATCTACTTCTCCAATAGATTTGTCTGCAGTGAGCAGGGAGTGGTGGCACAGGCCTTTAGTCTCAGCACTCAGGAGGCAGAGGCAGGCATTTCTCTGAGTTCAAGGCCAGCCTGGTCTACATAGCAGTGCAGACCAGCTAAGGCTACAGGGAGACCCTGTCTCAGAAAAACCAAAAAAAGCTATTCAAAGGGGCTGAAGAGACGGGTCAGCGGTTAAGACCAACACGTTCTTCTGGCCTCTAAAGACACTGAAAGACACGGGTGCATTTACATACATGTAGGCAATACACTCATACACATAAAAATAAATTATTTGAAAAATAAATAAAAGCTCTTCAAAGAAATAGCTAGATTCCAATCCTCATTCCCAACAGAATTGACCCTCCTTAGAGGAGCTGGCTTAGAAAGTTAAGTCCTCCTTAGAGGAGCTGGCTTAGAAAGTTAAGTCCTGACAGTACTCCCATCCGAGCATCAACTTTATAACTTGTATGGGACAGTCTCCAATCCTTACCCTCCGACTAGTCCTCCAACTAGTCCCAGGACCTCATCTGGCTCCCACAGCCTCTAATCCTGACTAGTCCTCCGATCCTTACCCTCCCGACTAGTCCTCCCACTACTCCAGACGCTCACCCAGCTCCCGCACCCTACAATCCTCCCACCGGCCCCACGTTCTCGCCTCGCCCGCCGACACTCAGGTTTCCCGGCTCCCGCAGCCCAGCGGGCCGCGGTCGGAACTCACCGTCCACGCCTGTGCGTGCGGCCGCCCGGAGCAGGTCCTGCGAGGCCCATCAGGGAGCGAGCCGCAGGCGGCAGCCATGCGGAGTCCGCCGGGAGCGGGAGCAGCACGAGGGGGCACGCAAGGACTCCCAGGCCGCCGCCGCTTCCGGTAGGGGAAGAGGGGCCGCGCGCACCCGCCCTCGGAGTCTTCGCGCGGCTGGGGCCTAGAAGCCCCGAGCGGTTCGGAAACCGGAAGTGGCGGCGCACGACCCGCCCGGAGAGCGCTTTCCAGACAGGCAGCTGCGCGGCCACCTGGCAGGGCGGCGTCGCCTAGCAACGCGGGGTCCTTCCTGGCTCGGCGGCGCTCGCGGCCTGAGCGGAGCCAACTGCCGCGCAGGGCGCCGGGGGCGGCGCCGTGGAACTGGAGGCCGCCGGGGGAAGACGGAGGGGGCTCGGCGCGCGCGGGGACCCGACCTCTGCGCCCCGGCGACGATGAGCGCGGCCGAGGAGGCCCGCGTGGGGCCCGCGGCTGATGGGCCAGCGCCGTCCGCGGAGGAGGAGGGCGAGGGCGGCGGGAAGGAGCCGGCGGAGGCGGAGGATGCGGCCCCCGGGCCCAGCGCGTCGTTCCGCCTGATGGTGACCCGGCGGGAGCCGGCCGTGAAGCTGCAGTACGCCGTGAGCGGCCTGGAGCCGCTGGCCTGGTCGGAGGACCATCGCGTGTCGGTGTCCACTGCTCGCAGCATCGCCGTGCTGGAGCTGATCTGCGATGTGCACAACCCAGGCCAGGATCTAGTGATCCACCGCACCTCGGTGCCCGCGCCTCTCAACAGCTGCCTGCTCAAGGTAAAGTGCAGCTGCCGGCGCGGGGTCGCCTCACCCGCCTCGGAAAGCGCGGCCTGCAGCGCCTGGTTCTGGGATTGCCTGCGCATCCATCTCCTGGGGAGCAATGGGGACCTGCGCCGCCCCAGCTCCAAAACGGCCTTGCAGCTGTTGCACTGTTTAGCAGGCATCCCTGTCCCCCATGCACAGCCTAAGAGCCTCCCAAACCCATGTTCTTGGGGAGCATGGGGACCAGCGCCCCAGCTCCAAAACAGCCTTGCAGCTGTTGCACTGTTCAGTTAGCAGACACCCCCTCCCCCATGCACAGCCTAAGAGCCCCCCAAACCCATGTTCTTGGGGAGCATCAGGGACCAGCGTTGCCCCAGCTCCAAAAGAAGCCTTGCAGCTTGTTGCATTGTTTAGCAGAAACCCCCACCTCCGCCTTGCACGTCCTAACCGCCCCCCAACCCTTGTTCCGCTGTCCCTCCCTTCTCCCCTTGTGTCTGGTGGGCAGCTAGCACTGATGACTCTGGTGCACTCTGAGACTCCACCCCCAGGTGACCCAACCCCAGACGTGCCTCTACCGATGCTCCCATTGTCCAGGGCCTGCTCCCGGAGGCCCTTGGCTGCTGGCTTTGTTTATACTGTACTGCCTGCGCTTTCCTCTCGCGCCACTTCTGCTTGGAGAAGAAAAACTGGTCTGTTTCACAGTCTTACCTGTTTGACGGTCCCGTTGTGAATGGTCCCTGAGTCTCACCTTGGGCAGATAGATACACATTGGCTTGTACTCTTACATTTTCTTTACTGACTTTTAAAAATCTTTGGGACATGGGATGAAAAATAATACCCATGGAGACTTGAAGTGCTCTCTGTAAGTTTAGTGTCTTCGGCTTCATATAAGTTTAACTGGAAACTAAAGAGTTTCTAAAGTTTCGCTGTATTAATATTACCACTGTCAAACTCTGTTTTTAAAAGTAGTGAGCAATGTTGTTCATCTTCATAGCTTAGAAATATGTATATGCATATGCAGTACATGATTTGTCAGGGTAGATATGGAAATAAAGCAGTGTGGAGACCAGCCCCTGCCCTCAGGGAGCTTACCTTCTTTGGCAAGTCCTGAGCAGTCTAGTAATGAGTGCTGAAACGCCATATACCCAGGTAGTGGTATGTTTATTGGAAAGGAAAGTTTCCAAATTCCACTATTAGACAGCCATTCCAAATTCACATCTTCAGCTGTAGGCAGCCCCAGTTGTTCTCTTTTAACATACTTGATGCAAACTTCAAATGCAATGTTGAATGAGGTAAACTAGAGTATAGACAATCCTGCCTCTGCCTCCTCCGTGCTGGGTGGACAGGCTCACAGGTGTGTGTCAGCACACCCATGCATCCACTAGACATGGATGAGGTAGATGCTGGCCGTGCTGTGGAATTGATGCATGGACTGGGAAGCAGAAGAAAGGTATTTTGAAAGTTGCATCCTGTGCTGGAAAAGAACTTATTTTTTCCAAGGATTTCCTGCACCAGCCAGCTAGGGAAAGTGTGTGCGTGTGTCAAGATGGATTGCTTTAGCAGAAAGAATTGAGTGAAAGAAAGGCTTGCAAGAGGGGGCACTTACGTAAGGGAAGGTCACCTGGTGGTGAATCTGGAGCTTCCTAAGAAAAGGAAGCCCATCCAGGTGCCAAGAGTGAGGCATCCAGCTCATGCACATACACCTTGAATAGCTGTGACTGTTGCTTAGGTATTGCTAGATCACCAGGGAGCCAAGAATCCCTTCTAGAGTCTGAGAAACTCAATGAGGCTAGTTGGGAACTGGGAAGTTGACCCTGGAGGCTCTTTAGGTGCCATTTCAGGTTCACAAGGGTAGGATGGCCTGGTGTAGTTTAGGTGTAGGAGTCTGCTGGGCTAGAGGTTAGTAAATGATTGTTTCACTCAGGATAACATGGGAGTGAGAGACTGGGCTTTGCACAAGATAGACCTACCTGTAAAACAGGTAGGAGGAATAAATTTAATACATATACAAAACATTACATAGCATTACTGCATCATTGCTAGCTCTAACATATGTAAATAACTGCTGGGATTAAGAAGACAATGCCACTGCACAGGTATGCAGGAAAAGTAGGTTGTATGTGGATTTGAAGGCAGTGTTAAAATTCTGATAAAAAATTGACTGTCTTTTTGCCACATTTGACATTTGTCACAGTGTTTAAATAGTAACAAGAAATCCTTGTATAGTCCTCTAATTGATAAAGAGCTTACATGAAGAGGCCTTCAGACATAAAGAAATCAATCAAATCTTTTGGTCTCTGTGTGTATGTGTGTGTGTGTACACACACACACATATGGCCTGGAACTCAGTATATAGACCAGACTAGACTTGAACCCACAGAGATCCACCTGCCTCTGTCTCCCAAGTGCTGGGATTAAAGGCCTGCACCACCACGCCCAGCCTTTGACCCTATGTATTGATGGTCCCTGAAGGCTTAAATCTACTCAGTGCTATCCAGTTGGTCGTTGCTTCACCTCAAATAATAAGTTGAAACCCAGGTGGCAATTTTAGTGCGTAGCACAGCTAAATAGCTACAAGGTACTAAGCCTTTTTGAGGCCTTTACGCTATGACTCTGTTATAGCCTGAGTTTCTTTCAGGAAAATATATAGCTAAACTTTGTTCATCATCTATTTGTAAGTTACTGTCTTGGGTACTGGAATTATATGATACAAAGTCAAAAGATATAAAGTATGAAAAGTGAGCCAGGCATGGTGGCCCACGCCTTTAATCCCAGCACTTGGGAGACAGGCAGGCAGATCTCTGTAAGTTCGAGGCCAGCCTGATCTACATAGCGAGTTCCAGGTCAGCTGGGGCTCCAGGGAGACCCTGTCTCAAAAAGACAAAGAATGAAAAGTAAGAAAAGAGTGACTTAAGAGTAACTTACAGGGCTGGAGAGATGCTCAGTGGGTAAGAGTACTTGCTGTTCTTACAGAGGACCCAGGTTCAGCTCCTAGCACCCACTTAAACTGCCTATAACTCCAGTTCGAGGGAGTCTGATGCCCTCTCCTGGCTTCTTTGGACACCAGGCGCACATATGATGTACATGCATACATGCAGGCAGACACACATTTTTAAAAAGTCCTCTAAAAGTCACAATTTTCTTCCCATTAGACTACTGATTTTGTGTATGCATGGCTGTGCACAGTTCCTCATCCTAGTTGTGTTTGTGGACCTCATTGTGTTGGGCATCAGCTGCTGAAGACAGTATCTATGGCTACTGCTGCCTGTATTTGGGAATCACAGGTCCCCTACCCTGAGGAAACTCACTAGCGTCCAGTGAGTTTTCATTTGTCAGGATCTTACAGAGTTCTTAGCTTTTATACTGGTATTAGTAGTCAGCTTGAAATCCAGCAGTGTACAATTAAATGATAGTCTCAGGCAGGACTCTGGGAACTAAACTTGCAAGTGGTTAGGTCCTTGGGGATCTGAGTGCTTTGCTTGTTTTAATTTGTTAACTAGGTCTGTGATAGAGTTGGGGAGTGAAATGTAACCAGCTAATGAAATCATTCTATTTCAAAAGTATGGTTTAGAATAAAGGATTAGCCAGGCATGGTGGCACATGCCTTTAATCCCAGCACTCCAGAAGCAGAGGCAGGTGGATCTCTGTGAGTTTGAGGCCAGCCTAGTCTATAAGGATTAACAACTTCCCTAGAAAGTTCTACTTTTTAAAAAATATTTTACTTATTTATTTTTTTATTTTATGTATGAGTGTATTGCCTGCATGCGAGTACATCCATGTCGTGCGATGCCTCAGAGGTCAGAAGAGGGCTTCATATTCCCCTGGAACTGGAGTTAAGGACAGTGTGTAGCCACTATGTGGGTTCTGGGAATTGAACCCGGGTCCTCTGCAAGAGCAATCAGTGCTTTTAACCACTGAGCCATCTCTCCAGCCCCAGAAGGTTGTACTTTTAAAAAGAAATTTGTCTAACTTCAAGAAGGGCTGATGGCTGGTGCTGGAGAGATGGCTCAGTGGTTTATAGCTTAAATCATTTGGTGAGCAACTTTTTAAGAATCTTTCTCACTTTATATACTTAATATTTTATCTGGAAATTTTAGCAGAAAAGTAAGATTAGTTCAGCTATCCTTTGGGTGGGTGTATTTGTGTGATCGGTTCATTTATCCTTTGGGTAGGCACATTTGTGTGCTTGTATACCTACATGTGGGTATGTTGTATACCTACACGTGGGTATGTTGTACGTATGGAAGTCAAAGAAGACCCTCATTCCTCAGTCAGCTTCCAGTGTGTGTTTGAGACAGGGTGTCTCATTAGCCTGGACTCTCTCCTAGCTGGCCAGTGGACTCCAGCAATCTGCCTGGCTCTGCCTCACGTCCTACCATCCCTAGGATTACTGGCTTGTATTGCACCTGGCTTTTTACGTGGGTTCTGGGGCTTGAATGCAGTTCTTGTGCTTCCAGGGCAAGGTCTCACTGACTGAGCCATCTCCCCAGCCCCTCTTGCTAGTTTCTAATAACCTCTGCTGTTTCACAGTGTTCATTGTTGATGCACTGAGAAATTGTATCCTTTTTATGTGTATGAGTGTTTTGCCTGTATGTATATAAGTGCACCATGTGCATGCACTGCCCATGGAGGTCAGGAGAGGGTGTCAGATCTACTGGAACTAGAGTTGGAGGTGATTGTGAGCTGCCATTTGGCTGCTGGGAACCGAACCCGGGTCCTCTGCAAGAGCAGCCAGTGCTCTTAACCTCTAAGCCATGTCTCCAGCCCCAGGAAATTTTATTTTTAGTTAGGTTTAACAGTCTGTGTGCACTTAGCCTTTGGAGGGTCTTTTTAAACCCAACACATTTGCAGTCACTCAAGTTTTCCTAGGGTACAGGCAGGTAGTGATTCTGAGTTTACACGTGTATTTCCAGACCTGTGTCCGGAGCATGACTCTTCAGTACTTGGGAACTTAAAGTCACTTTTATTGTATTCATGTATTAAGAGAACTTGGGTTCCTTTTTATCCTTGTGTTCTCTTTCTAGTTTGAAGATCGGGTTCTTAAAAAAAAGAGACAGGTTCTAAAAAAAAAAAAAAAAAATCTATTCTTTTCCTTTTGGCTTTCTGAGACAGGCTCTCACTGCATACTCTTGGCTGGCCTGGAATGAGCTATAAAGACCAGGCCTCTAATCTGGGCTGCTTTCCTGGCTCTGCCTCCCCAATGCCAGGATTACAGGCATGCCCACTGTGGCCTGCTTGCATTCCTTTCTGTCGTCCACCTCTGAAGACAGCAGCAGGAGCTCTTCTGCTTCCAGTGTAGCAGACCATCTTTTGATCGACCTTTGCTCTTTTTTGGCTTTAACCTTCCTGGCTATAATTCTGCGACTCTGGAGTACTTGTTATTTATCTCTTTATCCTCACTGCCCCTTCCAGAGTTTGCCGTCATCTGTCTGGGCAGTTGATAGGCATCACAGACCTAGAAGGGGAGATGAAGCAAAGCTAGACTGTTCTGAGAAGGCCTCATACAGAGGATTAGACCTGGTAGGATTGATGAGAAGGGAGAAGTCAGGCAATGAACCTAGAAAAGCAGGGGTTGGAATGTTCCAAACTGCAAATAGAGCAGTCCGATCGGAGCCATCTCACTTGTAGCAGGAGGCAAAGCAGTTGCTGTTGGCTTCCCTCTAAGTTGTTGAAGAAACTTCATTCTGAAACCTGAAGTTGGCCTGTGCAGACGGCTCTCTGCTCAAAGCACTTGCTTGCCTGCCAGCTTGGAACCCAGGTGAAAAAAGCTGATGTGGTGGCTCAAACCTGTAATCCCAACACTCCTGTATTGAGATGGGAGGCAGAAACTGGAGAATCACCTGAAAGCCTGTGGGCCAGCTAGTCTAGAATGCCAACACAGCCACAGCAGGAGCAAGAGACCTTGACCCAACCAGGTGGAAAGAGAACCAACTCCTGAAAGTTGGGCTCCATACAAGCACCATGGCACACATGAGTCTGAACTCTCTCTCACTCACACATACACACACACACACACACACACACACACACACACACACACGCCCCACAAACAACTGATTAAGACTTTTTTAAAAGAACCTGAAGTTAGGAGTTGGACTGGGGATGTAGCTCAGAGGTAGAGCGCTTGCCTAGCACGTACAAGGTCCTGAGTTTGATCTTCCAATTTCGCTCCCCTCCAAAAAAACCCTAAAGTTGACAATTGTGTCACAAAGCTATTATAAAAATCCGAGCATCTGGGGTTGTAGAGATGGCTCAGCAGTTAAGAGCACTAGCTGCACTTGCAGAGGACCCAGGGTGTGCATCAGCACACCTGGCTATTTGATCCTTTAAATGCACATAATACCAGAGATTAGCAGAATTGGTACAAGATTATTTTGTATATTAATGAAAGGTAATTGATACAGATGGATGTTTATCTGTCTATGTCTCATTTTCAGGTTGGCTCAAAAACAGAAGTGGCTGAGTGCAAGGAGAAGTTTGCTTCCTCTAAGGACCCTACCATCAGCCAGACTTTCATGTTGGACAGGATGTTCAACCCCGAGGGGAAGGCCTTGCCCCCAATGCGAGGGTTCAAATACACTAGTTGGTCTCCCATGGGGTGTGATGCCAACGGCAGGTGCCTCTTGGCAGCACTGACAATGGACAATCGCCTGACTGTGCAGGTGAACCTCAACAGACTCCAGTGGGTCCAGCTGGTGGATCTGACTGAAATCTATGGAGAGCGTCTTTATGAGACCAGTTACAGACTTGCTAAGACTGAGGCCCCAGAGGGCAATCTTGGGGATTTTGCTGAGTTTCAGAGGAGACACAGCATGCAGACCCCAGTGAGAATGGAGTGGTCGGGCATCTGCACCACTCAGCAGGTCAAGCACAACAACGAGTGCCGGGACGTGGGCAGTGTGCTCCTGGCGGTGCTCTTTGAGAACGGCAACATTGCTGTGTGGCAGTTCCAGCTGCCGTTCGTGGGCAAGGAGTCCATCTCTTCGTGCAACACCATTGAGTCGGGCATCAGCTCTCCCAGTGTCTTGTTCTGGTGGGAGTATGAGCACAGCAATCGGAAAATGAGTGGCCTTATCGTGGGGAGTGCTTTCGGACCTGTAAAAATTCTCCCTGTCAATCTCAAAGCAGTTAAAGGCTACTTCACTCTGAGGCAGCCTGTTGTCTTGTGGAAAGAAATGGACCAGTTGCCTGTGCACAGCATCAAATGTGTGCCACTTTACCACCCTTACCAGAAGTGCAGCTGCAGCCTCGTGGTGGCTGCACGGGGCTCCTATGTGTTCTGGTGTCTTCTTCTCATCTCCAAGGCGGGTCTGAATGTTCACAACTCGCACGTCACAGGCCTTCACTCGCTGCCCATCGTCTCCATGACAGCAGACAGGCAGAATGGAACCGTCTACACCTGTTCCAGCGACGGGAAGGTGAGGCAGCTGATCCCCATTTTCACAGATGTCGCGTTGAAGTTTGAACACCAGCTGATTAAACTCTCAGATGTGTTTGGCTCGGTGAGGACTCACGGCATAGCAGTGAGCCCCTGTGGCGCGTATCTGGCCATCATAACCACTGAGGGCATGGTCAATGGCCTCCACCCCGTTAACAAAAACTACCAGGTCCAGTTTGTCACTCTCAAGACCTTTGAAGAGGCAGCTGCTCAGCTCCTGGAGTCTTCTGTGCAGAATCTCTTTAAGCAGGTAGACTTGATAGACCTCGTGCGCTGGAAGATTTTAAAAGAGAAACATATCCCTCAGTTTTTACACGAAGCTTTGGAAAAAAAGATCGAAAGCAGTGGGGTCACCTACTTTTGGCGCTTTAAGCTTTTCCTCCTGAGGATTTTGTATCAGTCGATGCAGAAATCCCCTTCAGAAGCCTTATGGAAACCCACCCATGAGGACTCAAAGATCTTACTGGTTGACTCACCTGGGATGGGCGATGGTGAGGATGAACAGCAAGAAGAAGGCACGTCTTCCAAGCAGGTGACTAAGGCAGGCCTGCAGGAGAGGGGCAAAGAGGGAGACCCAGAAGAGCCCCCTGAGGACTCGCTCACTGCCGTGGGAGATGTCGGGACCCGAGAGCCAATAGAGGAAAAGCTCCTCGAGATCCAAGGAAAGATTGAGGCTGTGGAAATGCATCTGACCAGGGAGCACATGAAGCGGGTCCTGGGAGAAGTGTACCTGCACACCTGGATCACAGAGAACACCAGCATCCCCACCAGGGGACTCTGTAATTTCTTGATGTCTGACGAGGAGTACGATGACCGGACGGCTCGGGTAGGTGTTTGTCCAAACTGCTGCCCTGGAGCAGGCTGTGCTCCTCACTAGAGTGAGGGGCCTGGTTGGACTTCTGGAGCTCAGCTTTGGCTTTGACATTTTTGAGGTCATTGATCAGCATGAGGTAGAGGGAGTGGAGAGGAGATGCATGCACTGATGCCAGGACACACTGCTTTCTTCCCCTCGCTGTGCTCTTGACTGACATGCAGGGTTTGTCAGACATTTCCAGCAGGAGCTTGAAGAGGTTTCACTTGGAGGTCATGTGTGAAGGGCAGGCAGCTGTGGAGGTGCCCGCCCACCTGTGCCCCCTCCATCTTGTTTTACAGAAGTTCTTTGTGGGGCATGTTTTCTATTTGAAAGGACTGTGTTCTGTTTCTGTCAAGGAGAGCTAAAAGGGACTGATTACATCCAGTCTGTTCGTTTTTTTTTTCTTTTAAACTGGGTGTGTCTTTATTTTGGTACTCAGACAATCTTGACAGGCTTGGCTACAATGTATTCCATAGAACTCCAGGTTTCCAAGAAAACAGCAGGGTTCCAAGCGTGGGGACTTTGGCAACCTGCGCCCAGAAGGTTCCCAGTACACATTTTCATTTTGTGAGTTCTGAGAACTCCTGCAGAAAAGAAACTGTTACCTTTGCCTCCCAGACTAACAAATTGAAAATCACAAAGGTCTGTTCCTTACTCTAAAGATTGATGCTTACTGCCTAAATAGTCTTATTTATTTATTTATTTATTATTATTATTTTGTCTTTTTTTTTGAGACAGGGTCTCCCTGTAGCCCCAGCTGTCCTGGAACTCACTACGTAGACCACGCTGGCCTTGAACTCACAGAGATCCACCTGTCTCTGCCTCCTGAGTGCTGGGATTAAAGACGTGTGCCACCACGCCCAGTTTATATTCTGTGTTTTTAATGAATTATCTACAATATGTCATGGAAATTTTATTTTCTGGTCCCATCTATTGGGTCTTCTGTAGGCGTCTTGCACCATGATGGACATCTCTTTCTCTAGGTTTGGACATTTTTTGATGATTTCATTGAAAAGATTTTCTCTACCTATGGTATCCCATAATCTGAAGGTTAGGTCTTTCCTTTTAAAAAATATTTTTAGTATTTATTTTAATTTCCATATATGTGTTTGGATCTGTGTATGTATGCCATATGTGTGCCAGTATCTATGGAGGCCATGAGGAGATTCAGATCCCCTGGAGCTGAAGTTACAGGCAGTTGTGAGCCCCCTGATATAGGGGATGGGAACCAAACTCAGATCCTCGAGAAGAGCAGCATGTGGAGTTTCACCGACCTGTCTCCTGTCCCTACGGTAAGTACTTTCATGGTGTCCCTGTCCTTTCCCGTACTCTATTCATTGTCTAAAAGTTTATCATTGATCTCTGCTGAGTGATCTGGTTTTTCTATTTGTCTTCCAGCTCTGGTTCTGTGTTTTCTGTTGATTCGTTTTCATGGTGAGGCATTCCAGTGAGGCTTAGTGAACTTGTGCGGCTTTCCATTCCCATCATATTTCAGTTTTCTTATTTTCTTCCACAGATTGGCTTTCTAATTTCATTCACCTCTTTGTCTTTGCTCTCTTGGAATGCATTCATGTCCTCTTTGAATTGTTTGAACATAGTAATAATCATTCTTTTGAATTCATTGTCTGGAATTCTTCCAGGTCATTCTCATTAGGAGCCATTATTATGGGATTGGTAATTTTTGGAAGTGACATGTCTTGGTTTTGTGTGTCTGTGTGTGTGTGTGTGCAATTTTTGTTTCTGTGCTCAGACTTGTGCATATGGGGTAAGTTGTTATTTGGGTCTCTCTTTCTTTTGTTCAGTTTCCTTTCTTCTTCCAATGGAAGTGTTTACAGTGTTCAGAGGTATAATTCTTAGTAGCGCTGAGATGTCATTTTTCTCTAGGATGACACTGAGGACCACAAAGCTCAATCTTTAATCTTTCTCTGAGAGTCAGCTGCTGTACGGTATCTACAGCAAGGCTCTTGGGGAAAGGTAGGCAGGCCTGGTACAGGAGGCTGTTCAAGTCCGGGTGGGTCACCTTAAGGAATGTCGGGATGGGAGGTGAAGTCGTGAAGTCAGGGAACCCTTACTTTTGCAGGAGGTCATACAGGCTGGGTTCTGGAGCAAAATTGCCTGGTATTGTATACAGGCCTGGTGTAGGAGGTATCATAGACCAAGTACCTGCCCTAAGGTTCCAGGGTGGTGTGGAAGGTCAAAGCAGGAAGAGACTAGAGAGTTTCACCTGGATTAGAAGTGCCTGTGTGGTATAGTCAGGCCTAGGCTGGGAAAGCCAGGGTCCCTTGCTGGACTGAGGAATCTATGAGGACTGGAATTCTAGAGCAAAGTTCCTGTGCATTCTAGTCGACCTTGTGTCAGAGACCACCCAGACCTGCTACCTGGGTGGATCCCGCTGGACCAGATCACTTCATTGTTGGTGAAGATCACTTGCTAGACAGAAGACCAAAGGCAGATGAAGAGACATGAAACCATATTTGGAGTCAGTAGATAAAATTAAGACCAATTTCAAAAGAACTCTATAATTATAAGCAGTAAGAAGACTAGAGGAAACATTATATCCATGAAAAATCCAAATAGGATAGTGAGGGAAGTTTTGTAACACAAAGAAAAAACACTGGGAAATAAAGAAA